ACATATACAACGACCCCCACCACTATATGGAGGCAAAGCCCTTCACTTCTTATGAAATATAGGGTACAAATCAAGGCTGCTCTCTCTAGAAGAAACAGAGGTTGTAAGACTGACTTAGGTCAAACTTGGTGGTATCACAGATCTATCAACAGGGGAATTAAATCAAGCTTTCATGGCAGAATATTTCCCTAAGTTGGTAAGTTATGCTTTCTAGACACAAAGTACAAGGAATCTGGGAAATCATGGAGGTGGTCCTAACATCTGTTGGGCATAGAGACCCACCCAATTAATTCTTCACAGTGGCCCAAGCAATGCTATCCAAAATCTTTGTGCTGATATAAACTGAAGGAAAACAACTTGAAACAATAATCTTCTTTGTATGGATTCTTGCTGTAAATAAATACGTTCTAATTTTTGTGCCAACATTTATCAACAATACAATTCCTTCAACCCTTTAGGCCTTGATTTCCTCATGAATAGATTATAAGGTCATTAGAGATCATCAAGTAAAGTATATTACATAAAATAGATGCCCCATTGCACCAATGAGATGTTCAAGATGTTATGTCGAAAATGAACTTTACAACTTTGGCGAAGGTTGAGATGGGGGGTGAGATGGGAAGGGTTGCTAAGGGGAAACAAAGGAGGCAACAATGCTTGAAAGGAAATGCACTCATTACCTTGCCCATGTAATTGTAACCACTCTGTACGGTATTTTCACAATAAAATAAAATAAACGCTTAATAAATGGCAGCCACTATTACTCTGATAGGGATCTTAAAGAGGGTCACAATATTTCCAACAAATACAAGTTTGGTATAAAGTAACAATCCAACATTCATTCTTTCATTTTGATATTCCTTTGTGTCAAATATTTTACAGTCAGTTTCCTTGTAGGAAGATATATCATTTTTCTTCTAGAACTATCAAAAATATTTTGGGCACAGATATAGGGTTCATGATAAGAATTGTGTGGGGATGGGAGGCTTTTGAATTCTAAATGGCTGAATGTTTCCTTTCTCCAAGAATTAATAAGCTTCTGTTAGAATCATACTTTACTGATAGTCAAAGAATATTAATTGAACCAAAGTTTCTGAATCTCAACTCCATTAAAAATAGGAGTGACTACCACTTGTGAACATTTACATTGTATACTATGTTACTCAATACTTACAATTTTATGAAGGGGCTATTACTGTTCTCATTTTTTCAGATGAGAAAAATGTGATCAGCAAAAAAATACTAGCCTAAGGTCACACTCACAGATTTGGGATTGAGTTTTGCCTTTGATTACATTATGGCATACATACTCAGCAAAGATGGAACCCTGAGAAAGTTGATTCTCTTAGTAAAGTGTAAAATATTAAGTGAACTAAATGTCAACTTGTTCATTAAGATAGGAAATACAAACAATATAAAAATGACAAATCACAGCTGACTTTTTACAACCTCAGTGATCCAAGAGAAAACTAAACTCATCAATCTTCTTCCCAACTAATCTTTTCAACATTAATAATTTCCTAAAATAAATTAGAAACTGGGAATTAATTTAATGAGTTTTTCTTCTTAATGACATAAGCTTCAGATCATTCTAGTTTCCAAACCAAATTACCGTTTACATTATCAAAGGATGTGGTTTGCAGCCCTCTATGGGCCTCTGTGTTAAATACAGAATTTAATAATTAAAAGTTCTCATGAAAGTGGACACTTAAAAGTCTCACAAAAAATGTTTTATGAAAAGGCTCATTTTCTTAGCATTGTAAAATGTTTGCTCCTTGTCATGTTACTTGATCTGCAAAACACATGCTGTGAAATAGAAAATATGGCCCATATACATCTTTAAATATTCAATTATACATTTCAATGAGCCATGCACAAGATACATTGATTCATATCATTTGCATGAAATGTCATTCAAATTGGTGACACCTTCACCCTTTTTCTCTCCTTGAAGCTGAGTGGAATGAAGAACTTATCATTGTCATTAGCAATGCCAATCAGAATAAGAATCAGTCATCCACTTTCTACTACAAGAATAAAAAACTGAATCTGCCTAGATTTGTCCAATCATTTCACAAAGAAACAATACCACCATTAATAAATCATATTAGTCCTATAAAAGACCAACAGAAATCTTTATATTTGAGAAAGATGAAAAGGTTTGGATATATTAAGCTGGTACTTGAAAGGGGTGAAATAACCAAGTGTTTTGTTTTCCATCTATCTATACCATTTTGTTTGTATTTTACTATTCACTCTGGAACAAGATGCGTTGGAAAAGGCATTTCAAACAGTTAACTTAAGAGTTGCCTTTATGTATGCAGAATGAGTGATTTAGAAAGTTTACAGGGGAGGTATAACTGATTATATGGGATCCTAAAATATGAAGAATGGTTGAGGCAAAACTGGATTTATTTATCCTCAGAAAATCAGCCGAGGACATAGTAGATGTCTTCATTTATTTGAAACTGTCCTACAAAAGTAGAATAAGACAAAGATAAAGATGTTGAAGATATGGGAGGCAGATTTCAGATGTCTGAGAAGACATTGTAAGTAAACATAAAGACTATGCTTTATTGGATACTACTGAAAACATTCAAGCAGCTCAGTAGTGTGACACTGATCATGGCCACTGATACCTTTCTGTTCTCAATGTTTCTCTGTTCTAGAGAATACAATGACAAGAGGAATTATGCAAAGAACAATTTCAAATGAAGACACTAAAATAGGAAAGAGGTAAAAAATGTTAACTTTGCCATATTTCATAAGTTGGATTCCTCCAGAAGCTGACTCTTAGTACTGAGTTTGTTAAATGATTATTAGAATTGCCTTAGGGAACATCTCCGTAAAGAGAGGACAACAAAACAAGATTGAGTAGAGGCAAAAAGGCAAGCTATGATGAAGGACCAAAGGTAGTCTCAGCCTATTACAAAGTTTGCTCTGGAACTAAAATACTTCTGTGAAGTTGTTCTGGGTTAAGATGGCCTGGCCTTTATGAACTTTTATTGATCACTCAATGGATGTGTGCATTCTTGGGCAAATTAGATGGAATGCAATCTTGAGAGAAGTGGCTTTTGGCAGCTACACCAGACTCTTGAATAGTCGACTGTTGAAGGCCAACAATTGGAGCCAAAAGTCCTTTGATTAAATCCACACCTTGTAACAACCAAATCTACATACAATTTGGGAACTCTTACAGGATTCTTGTAAGGCTACCCAGAGACAAATTACAGCCACTACTAATATCAGCCTGAGCTCAATCTCTTTATCTTCCCCTACCAGCTGTGAACACCATTTCCATTCTAGACACTCCTCAGCAGGTAGCACCATTTGCTCACTGATGATAAATAAAACACCATTGGGCAAGAGATGCCTTTAAATGTCTATTGTGCTAGTAATAGGGATATGAGTGATGGAATCTTTCTGACACCAGGTGTTCAGGTGACTTGATAATTATTTCTGGTAACTTGGTTCCTCTTCCTGCTGTTTTCATGAGATTTAAAGATCCCCCCTCTCTTGTAGTCATTGGTGGGATTTTAAGGAGGCATGAGTCAGTGGTAGATCACATGGGAGCCTTGGGCTCACTAAGAGGGAACATGGGCTTAATTCTTGATGTACCAATTTTATCTTAAAACAGATTGTTGTTAGGCACATCTGATTTGGTGAGCCTAGAGAACCTGAAATCGGCTCTACCAGTCACTAAGTATTACCACTGTGCACAAGTTTTTTAACTTCTCTGCTTAATTCAGTTTCCTCAATCATATAATGCTGGTGACAATAGTATTTGTAATACTGGGTTATTATGAAGATTATGTATTAAAATATGTACAGTGGGCCAGGTGTGGTGGCTCATGCCTGTATTCCCACCTACTTGGAAGGTGGAGGTTGGGAGAATACAACTTGAGGCTAATCTGGGCAAAAAGTTAGCAAAACCCACCATAGTAAATATTCTAGGTAAGGTAGTACGAGACTGTAATTCTAGCTATAGCAAAGGAAGTAGATAGGACTATGGTCTGAGGCAAAACTGAGATCATATTTGGGAAAAAAAATTAAAGCAAAAAAGAGCTGGGTTTGACTTATGAGTTACAGTTTCTTTGACTCATGATTTCTGTGACAACAGGGAGTAAACCAAAGAGGGGAAAAAGCAAAAAGAAATAACTGTGTACAGTACACTTAAAAAAAAAATACCTTGTTTCCATATCTTGTAGTTCATTTCAATTAGCATCAATTTATAAGGTCATATGTACATAGCTATTGAGCTATTGTGATCCTCCGCTAGGACTATCCTGGACATATACTACAAAGGACAAAGGGTGAACCAATGCAACAATGATACTCATAAGACACTAAGTTGGGGTGAGGGAGGGAAAGCGGGAGAAAACAAGGGACTGGGTAACAGTGTTCAACAAGAACTGTACTCATTTCCTTATTATGTGGCTGTAGCCCTTCTGTATATCATCTTTACAATAAAAAAAAAGTGAGCTTCTTGTCTAACAATAAGAAGCAGAGGTGAAACCACAGCAAACAAAACAGTCACCTTTGAATGATAACAGGATAATATGTAGTATTTGATGTTAGTTAACCCATAGTTTTACAGATGTGTGAAATAAATGTCTCCATTTCCCTTAAAATCTTCCTTCTAATCACAGAACAACATAATTAACAAAAATTTATCCCTCCCCCACAGTGTAACCCCCTCTTTCACTATATTTGATGTCAGTATAACATGTGGAGGAGACGGGGACAAACAAGTCGTTTAAGGATTCAGGTGGACCTGTTGCAACAATGAGAAGTACAAAATGTCATGTCAAAACCAGCTTTACAATGTCGGTGGGGGGGAGGGAGGGGGAGTATGATTGGGGGAGGGGAGGGGGGAGGCTGAGAAGGGAGGTGAAGGGTAAACAAAGGAGGAGGCTGCAATGCTTGGTAAGAAATGTATGCATTATCCTGCCCATGTAATTGTAACCCCTCTGTACAGTATGTTTTCAAATAAAATAAAATAAAATAAAATAAAAATTTATTATATGCGTGAAAATTTTTCCTGAAGAGCAAAATTATACATAAGACAAAGATTAGGCAAATATACAAGCAGAAAACTAGGAAAGAAAGGAAATAGTATATATGGGAAAACATTTAATCTTGTAACTTAAAAAAAATGCAGGCTGAAACACTAAGTACCATATTTTATAATTGTTTAATTGAAAATACTAAAATCAACAGGTAGTTCCAATGAGTTTGTGATCAAACTGGAATACTGTATCAGTGATATTGTGAACAGATCACATACAAGTGTTTTGGTAAATAATTTCAATACTTTTGGAAAAAAAAAAAACTCTGCAAGTCAGTTATCTGTAGTATTAAACTTCTGTAACTCAGCATTTACAGCTTTGTCTACGTCCCCTACCACAACTGAAAGATGAGTTCCAGATCAAGTCCTTCCTAATTTTTCTTGTAATATCAATGGCTTGGGTGCTCTATATAACATCTTAGATATGTAAAGAAAATGAAGAATGAGAAATGTTAAGCTCAGTGGCAGGAAATATGAGCAAGGACCAGGGGGAAAACAGTAATAACACCAAGGACTAAGACTAAAGTTCAAAGGAAAGGATATGGAACACAAATAGCAACATTAGATCAGATCACATCAGAGGCACTGCTGAAGCAATGGATACAGAGACAAGAAAGGTAAATAGTATTCATAGGGTGTTTGGTCTCTCTATCTTTCAAATTCAAAAGGAATTTCTTCTCTTGGAACTGGAAAACAGAAGGCACTAGGAATTATGAAAATCAGGCTTCTGAGTTATTTGGATAGAGCAGAAGGATCTATTTATTTACATATTTATCAGGCTCAATTTGATTTAGTTTTTTGGGTCTGACATTTTCAAACATCCATATCAGTAGGTTATTGATTAGATTATAAAAAAGCTGGCAAAAATCTTTAAAATATTAGGGACTTCAGATAAAACAAAGAAAGCACCAGGCAATACACTTCCTCTCAATCTTCTATTAAAACTCTCAAAGTTTACAAAAAACCCAAACAGTCAAGGTTTCAGACATCAATTCTTATGCATATAGAAACATGATATTCCACTATTAAAATGAGAAGTCTTTTCAAGGTTTATTTCCTATCTTTGGATCAGATTTTGTGTCCTCAAAGCACTAGCTTCAAATCACTCCGTACATGCCTAATAGCCTTCTTTTGTGTTCCCTTTGTTGGTCCTGCTACTATTTGCTTTATATTTCTTTACCTAAGTAATTTTATTAGCAACAGAAAACACCTTAATGTTATCTTACAAATGAACAAATTAAAAGCTATCAGCTGTATTTATACTATAGTTTAATTTCTTCTCTCTATATTTTGTTTTTACATGCAGAATTTGCTACTAACCTTAGATAATCTCAAGCTCCCTAATATGTAAAAAGATTTGCATAAAAAATTAATGATACAGATAAAATCACAACCACAATAATTAGACCATAGTTACACACTAATTAAGACAGAAAAACCCATACTCATTTACAAGTGATAACAAAGGAAGACAAAACATGAGTTAAGTAACAAAATAACATAGATACCATACAAACAAATCAGACCCCAAGGTTTTGACAGACTATGTATAAACACAGGCTGAGGTGAAGGGTAAGTTTCTACTTCCACCATGTGCTCACTTGGGTTCCTTTGTCTTGGATTTTGCTTCCTTTGGAATCTTTCCATTTTGACTTTGAGTAAATCTGGCTACTGTAGAAACACCATCCACAAACTTGGTTTTGAAGAGAACATTTGCATTGTTGAACATGCCTTCCTTTAAGGACACCACAATGAACTTAAGGAAAAATTAAAAAAACAGTATGAAAATCATGTTCTTGAGGAAGTTCACTCAAGAAACTGACTTTATTTTTTTAAATATCTGGCAGCAAGGATACACACATACTCAAATGCCAAGTAACGGTTTTGACATTAGGCATCAAAAAGAATGATAGCTTTCTTTCTTTTCAGAAAATTTTCATTTGACCCAAGCGTTTCATTACTCAGGTATACTATTTTCTGGTGTCTGAGTGCTTACTCTGTCTTATGTAGCAAATATACTGTTTTATTGCTAGCTCTAACTGCCTTAGTGAAATATTTTTCTTTGAGATATTTTCATAAAATCAAAGACTACAAGTTCTTATAGCACTACCCCCTACCCTAACAGAACCTTTATAAAACTAAGGCAACACTTCAGTTTTTTGTACCCACCCAAGCCTGAATGAATGCATAATTTATAAGAACTATTACCTGTGGAGTCCTCAGCATTATATAATACATAATTTATGCAACCATATTTGACAGTACAAGGCCTACAGCAACAGCACAATAAAAACGAATCTGACAATGGCTTCAAGAGGCTTTTATCTACCTGTAGTCCAAAGAAATGCAAGTTTCTCCACTGGGTACTACATGATTTTCTAATACATAAGTATATTCGTAGAACAGTTTTGTTTTGATTGTGTATCCTTATGGCAGCTAGTTAGAGAAAGCAATCACATTAACACTTATCACTTCTAAATTGGATTCTCCTTCATGCTACAACCAACAGTTTTAATATTTAGCTCTTTCTTTGAAGGGAGATTGAATCTTTTTTTCTCATTGAAAATAAGTCCTCTTCAATCAATTCTATTATAATCTTTTAATGATAATTTTATCATCATCTTCTCTTACCTACCTATCTGCTTGCCTATGTATCTGCCTGTCTGCCTGCCTACCTCCCTATCTACCTAATTTGTGCTGGATATCGAAATCAGGGCCTTCTATGTATTTGTGAAGCACTCTACCACTGAACTACATCCCCAGCTCAATTTTAGATAGCTTACTAACATTAATTATTACTAAAGAATTTAGAAGAGTAAGTACCTTACTTAAACCTATAGTGAGACATCTTTTTCTGGGGCTTACCTGAGAATGTGTGAAGTGAGTACGCAGCATCTGCCCAATATTTTGGGTATGAGAAAGATCCAAGGCTGCATCTACTTCATCCAAGATATAAATTGGAGCAGGTTTGAAGAGCAGCATGGACAATATTAATGACAAAGCCACTAATGACCTAAGAAAAAATTGGTGGAAGAAAATTTTGCCATTTTTTTAAAAAAACAAATATGTTGAATCAGAGGTACAATGCCATTATGATAAATGTTGCATATTTATGTAAAAGATAGTCATATTAAAAAACTCTTACATTTTAGATCACTCTTCACATACAGACTATTTTCATATAGTATTTTAACATTATCATATGCTTGGTACTTGCTCTTCAGAAAAATCTTGTAAACTTGACCAGTTTCTGGTAGATTATCAAATAATGTACAGATCAGCCCCGTCAGCCTGAACTCAAGGCCTATTGTTAAGTTTCTTGTGGTCTACCTGAAACAGACTCTATTCTTCTAAGGGACAATGCAGATCTGAAAGCTGCATCTTACATCTTGTAATAACTTACATCTCTACCTTCATGAGACTACTGATTCTATCTGGGTGTCTCTCCCTGTTTCTGGTATCCAGAGATTGCCACTAGGAAGAAAGAAAGCCTGGGTAAACACAGGGTTCACTACTTCTGTACCTCTTTCAGGTTATTGTAGTCCTGAACTACTTACTCATTTCCCAATATCTGAAAAATTGTTTTACACATATTTAGTCTAATTTTCTAGCTACTTATACTTATTTTTCCTTTGTTGGAAGTGAATTTAATCAAATGTGCCAATCAAAATTTAGGCTTACATATTAGGCTACTTAACTTCTACACATCAAGGTAATGAGGCTATGCAAAACAGAAGAATTATGAAGTAATACAATGATAGACAATAATAAAAGGAGCAATTGTAATATTGTGAAGAGATTACTCACCTCTGACCACCACTAAGCTCAGTTAGGTTTTCTTTCCAAGTATTTCCTAAGGCAACTTTGAACTCCAGACCATCTAAAACAGTAAGCCCTTCTGGTGGTGCAAGCATAGCATTGGCACCAGGCAAAAGAGTAGAAAAAATAGATCCAAAGTCCTTGTTAACCTGGAGAAAGTCACATGAGAACACTAGAATACTTTCCAAGAACAAGCAAATGTTGGTATATATACACATAGTTCAAAAGGTATACTGCAATGATTTATGTAACAAATATGGCTAGGCCATTTTTTTGTTTGTTGCTGATGCTAGTGAAACTACAACTGTGACTTGGAAATTTGTAAAGCCACAAGTATTTACCAGTTGGGTCTATGAAGAAATTATTTACTGAGGCACGTCTAACTTCCATGCGGGACTAAAGGCTGCCTTTCTACTTGTATCTCCAAATTTTCATGCTGTTATAAAATATACAGCAGAATATCACATAGCAGAATACAAAGAGAGATGCAAATAAATGGAGAATTTTTTATGATATAAAAGTTCCCTAGAAAACACTTTTTCTGTTGATTAATAAATAACGCGAGATGTCCTGATAGTTACCAGGTGAATGCTAAGTAGTTCCAGGAGAAAAGGAGGCACAAAGTCAAAGGCAAGACTTGTTCAAGACATTAAAGAGCTATTTCCTTATGTCTTAGCCAAAAATGATAAGGGGCTGAGGGCCAGGAAGGCATTTTGGATATCAAAAAAGGCTTTGTGTGTGTTTCATGTTCCTTTCTTGTCATGGAAGAAAACAGAGAATTTGGGCCAAAAATCCTAGCTTGTTATGAGATAATTTTTGTAGGTATACAGTTGATCAATGTTTTTAGAATTTAGCACTTGTTTTCAAAGATGTGACTAATAATCAGGGAATCTGGCAGTAAATTTGAGGTCTCAACCAATGAAGAAAAGTATTTGGTGGATTTCAACACTCCATTAAAAGTAGAAACTTCAAAAACTAGGTACAAAAAGGAGAATACTTTAAAACAATAAAGTTTAGGTAGGACAAATTACAGCTAACATGTAGAAAAACTGAAACTGTTCTCTCTAACCTCAGGAACAGGAGAAAGATGCCTCAATTAGTACAGTATTAAAAGTCTGAGTGAGTCAGGAAGGCAGAAGAAAGACAAAAAAGGGCATATAACATATACAGCATAATTCTTATCAAAATTACCAATGCCATTCCTCACAAAAATAGAAAAAAAGTTCTGAAACTATATAGACCCCAAATATCAAAAGCAATACTAAGCAAAAAGAACAAAACTCAAGGCACATTACCTGCCTTCAAATATACAGTTACAATTCAATCAGTATGGTGCTATGGCTTAAAAAAGAGATACACAAGCTGGCCACTGGTGGCTCATAGCTGTAATCCTAATGAAGGCAAGATGCTTTGAATGTCAAAAAACTGGCTGTGTTGGGGCTGGGAAGGTGGCTCAGTGGTAGGGCGCTTGCCTTGCATGCCTGAGGCCCTGGGTTCTATTCCTCAGCACCACATAAGCAAAAAGAAAAAAAACCGGAAGTGGTATTGTGGCTCAAGTGGTAGAGCGCTAGCTCTGAGCTGAAGAGCTGAGGGACAGCGTCCAGGCCGAGAGTTCAGGCCCCACGACTAGACCCCCCCCGCCAAAAAAAACCCCAAAAAACTGGCTGTGCTGGTGTGCACCACGATAAAAGGAAGATTATAATCCTAGCTGGACGTAGGCAAAAAGCAAGAGCCTACCTCAAAAATAACCAGAGCATAAAAGGCTAGGAGTGCATGGCGGCTCAAATGGTAGAGCACCTGCGTAGTAGGTGCAAAACCCTGAGTTCAAATCCTGTTAGCATTAGAAGAAAAAAAAAAATAAACAGACCAAAGGAAGAGAGAACCCAAAAATAAATCCACACATCTACAAGTCAATTGATTCTTGACCTAGGCTCCAAATATATATTTGGTGAAACAGAATTCTTCAAAAGGATTTTGGGTTTCCAATAAATAGCTAATACCAGCATATAAAACTTACCTTCTGGTTTCAGGCAAAGACTAAGTATAGTAGATATTGCTTTCTCCCAAATGTAAAAGCCTAGTCTTATGAAAAGGAATGTGAGTAACAGTCCTGATAAACAACGGACATAAACTTACCTTTGCAAAACCAGTTGTAAATTTCCAAAAAAAAAGGCAAATAAAGTTTTTGTGATTTGCATTAGGTGCGAACATAGATTACTGAAACACAAATCAGCCATCATAGCAAAACCCAATGTTGATATTCTTCATCATTGTTTTTGTCAAAATAAAGGAAAATATTTAGGACTTCAAATACCTTTTGCCAAGCAATATTTAGAGCTTGGTTTTTCTTCTGGTCAAGGTCTTCTATAGTGGCAAGGATTTTGGATTTGTCATTTTCTACAATTCTCTTCTTTTTCATTAAGTCATTATACTGTGAAATAAAAAGTTATCTTTTATAAGAAAAATATAAAATTTCCTCTACACTTTATAATTTAGCCAGGTTTCCTTATTGTTTTTTTTTAGGCAGTATTGGGGATTGTACTGAGGGCAAAGTATTGTGAGGCAGATGCTCTACCTCTTGAGCATCAATCTCCCTTTGCATGGTTATTTTCAAAGCAGGGTCTCACTTCATGCTTGGGCTGGCCTAGGCTGAGATTATCTTATGCTTCCCTGGATAATGAGCACATACTACTCTGCCAAGACAATGGTTGAGGAGTTTTATTAATTTTTGTGCTAGGGTTGGCCTTGACCCATGATCTTCCAATCTTTGCCTCACAAGTGGCCAGGACTTGAGCCACTGTGCCTGGCTCATTATTCTTAACTTGATACATACAATTAATTCTATTACTAAAATACAATGTGTCAAGAAATATAATGTTATGCTTTGAAACAAGTGTGTCTGAGAGGCACAAGTGCTGTATACTTGGTTTTCAATTGGTGGTACTAACTTGGGTTGTTTTGGAACCTTTAGGAGGGCCCTAAGCTGGAGGTAGTAGGTTAGAGGGTATGTCCCTAGAGGCTGTATCTTGTCCTGGCCCTCAATCTGTTGCTCTCTGCACATGTTCTTGCCATCTAGAATTTCTTCCTTCTCATCATGGGCTCTGAAATCATGAACCAAAATAAGTCTTTCCTCTTTTAGTTTATTGTCAGGCATTTTCGTAACAGTGAAACAAAAGTAATTAATACTTCTGTAAACCAAATTATGATAGAAGCATATCATCTATGTGTATTGGGAAAATTTAATTGCTTGGAACAGAATTTTAGAGGAAAATCCCTTGAAATAATCAGACAATACTAAGAGATCTTTATCCTTTGTCAAAGACAATAGTTAACAGAGTGATTTGTAAAGAGGGAGACAGCAAAACACCTATTTTTCAAGGCTTTTTAAGAAAACTAAAAGAAATGACAGACTGAGAAATTAATAGGATCTGTAAAGTGGTTTTTATTTATATCAAGAATCAGAAAACAGAACATGTTTATGGCAAAAATCAAAATTTATGGAACCAGGAGGAGGCTGCAATGCTTGGTAAGAAATGTACACATTATCCTGCCCATGTAACTGTAACTCCTCTGTACAGTATGTTCACAAATAAAATTAAATTAAAAAAAAAAATTATGGAACCATCAATGAAGGTGCAATAGAATAAAAAAATAAAAGAATACGAAAAAAAAAAAACAAAGAAGAAATAGAAAAGGGAACTAGAAACCAAGAACCTAGGAAATTAGCAAACAGGTTGTATGTAATATAGGTATCACATATAGCCATATGGCTAAGTGATCTTAGAACAGACTTACCCGTTCTTCAGCTTCTGTTAGTACATTCATAGCTCTCATGTTGACATTTCTTCCTAGTTTCTCTTTCATGTCTTGTAACTTCTGAAGTCGCTGACCAGCTTCTTTGGGGTTGTTAGTTTTGAAATCATAGGCACTATTGGATTGGCCAAACAGGTGTTTCTCTGAATTAATCCAGTCATAATCTTTCAACATTTTGGATACCTAGCCACATATGAAAATAAGAGTGTTTATAAATAATTATTTACAAATGCATTCTTCAATATTTAGTTACTTTAAATAAAATATTTGGGGTAAAAAAAATACTACAATGAATTAAGGATGGTGATTCAAGTCTGTAATTATAGCTTTTTGGGAGGCAGAGATTGGAGGATCATAGTTAAGAAGCCAGCCCAGCCACAGAAGTTCAGAAGAGTGGCATGTGCCACTCATACCACTAACACGGGGAAGCACAAGTACCAAGACTGCAATATAAACTGGCCTGGAAAAATAATCAATGCATACCGGGCGCCAGTGGCTCACACCTTTAATCCTAACTACTCAGGATGCTGAGATCTGAGGATAGCAGTTCAAAGCCAAACCGGGCAGGAAAGTCCATGAGACTCTGATCTCCAATAAACCACTAGAAAACTGGAAGTGGTACTGTGGCTCAAGTGGTAGAACACTTGCATTGAGCTGAAGAGCTGAGGGACAGTGCCCCAGGCCGAGTTCAAGCCCCAAACTGACCAAAAAAAAAATCAATGCAAACAGGGGATGGAGGTATGGCTCAAGTTGTACAGCCCTTGCCTACTAAGCTTGAGATCCTGATTTCAGTATAGTATACTCTACAGTTTAAGCCTCATCTCTAGTCCTAGGATGGACATTTTTACCTGGCTCAAGAGAAAACACTGTAGAGAAAAAGATTTTCCCACTATTTAGCAGAAAAGGAGCGAACTCACAGAAACATTGTATGTAGTACAGGTTGAGTGTCCCTTATTCTAAAATGCTCGGGGTCAGATATGCCCATTGACCTTTAGAATGCTGACAGACACATAAGGTATTTGGGGAAGAGAGCCAAGTCTAAATACAAAGTTCACTTATGTCACATATGTACTTTATTATACACATAACCTGACAGTAATGCCATGTTTTTTGCAACCTCATTTTGACTATGAACTGTTATGTAATGTCAGAAATTTTCCATTATGGCATCATGTTAACAACTCAAAAAGTTTTGGACTTTGGAACATTTCCAGATTAGTGTTGCTTGACCTGTATAAAACATGCCCATTAAGACAGGAGAAAAAGATAAAGTTCCTTCTAATTTTACTAGATTTAATGCTTTAAAAAGCAACTTGTGAAAAGCTAAAGTTGCTTAGGAAAATTTAGCCGCCAATTTATTAAAATATTAGAAGCCTAACACTAATAAGTTTCTCAGAATTATAATTTAAGAGAAAAACCTGCCTGGATGTTGGCTCTTTCCCATTCCTATATCCATGTGTCAAGGCAAGGTATTATGTTTTCCTATAATACAATTGAAAATATTTAGATTTATAGTGCTGAAACCTTGCTTCTACAGAAACTGTTAAAGAGTTAATCTGACTACAAATATTCAGTCCTTACTAATCTGTCTATAACTACTCATTCAATGGTTATGGTCTTATTTTATATTTACCCAAAGTACAATAATCTTTTGTAATTTGTAATCTAATCTTCCTTGCTGACTTGTAAATTCTATTAAGGAACTGTGTATACATGTTACCTATTTTTTTTTTTTTTTGATTGTGAAAATACCATACAGAGGGGTTACAATTAGAAGGCAAGGTAATCAGTGCATTTCTTATCAAGCATTGTTGCCTCCTCTTTGTTTCCCCTTCCCATATTCCCCTCCTCCCCGCCCTGGCATCCCCCTTCTAACCCTACACCCCGCACGCCAAAGTTGTAAAGTTCATTTTCTTGTACATCTCATTGTTGCAATGGGTCCAACTGTATCCCTATTTAAACCAATTTGTTTTTTTCCTTCTCCTCCACAAATTATACCAAAAGCAAATACAGTGAAAACAGGAGTTATACCATGGGGGAGGGATATACAAAGCAACAAAGAAATATCTTATAAATATGTTAGAAACAATAGCAAGAAAGAAAAAAGATTTGAGTCCTTATCTTGGGGTTCATTTCACTTAACATCAACTTATCTGACCATTTCTGCTTGTCTCAGACATATACTAGTTATTCATGTTACATATTCTTATGTTTTCAGTATCTGGTCTAATAACCTTTATGTCTAGTCACATTTATACATTAGGTCTTCAGAAGTATCTGTCAAAGAATCCTTGAGTTTTTAACAGCTACACTCACCGATGTCTATTCCCTTAATATCAAAAAAAGCCTAAAGAGACACCAATATCATTTTCAATTACCAAAGTATTCAATGGTATTGCTAATAACTCAGTGACTGCCACTACCACCTACTAGGCTAATAGGAACTCAATACTAATACAAGAAAGTAGATTATAATAAACCCATAAAAATTTATTTTAATCAAGCAAATCTGAATGGACATGTATAGTCCATTCACAGGGCAAGAAAACTTTTGCATCTTCTTATTGATTTTTTTGAAGTTAAAATTTTTATATTTTTAGAATGTTTAAAAATGTTATATGTTCACATGCAAACAAGATAACCTCAAAATAGTTGTTTCACTAAACACTGTTTTCAATAAAGTAACAAAAATTGGTAGTACTGACATTTACATGGACACTTAAAATCCAATCAAGCCTCCTCCTTTCTTTTGTAAATTATGCTGGTACATTATTTTTGGAATTCATTAAATACAATCTGAAATAAGGTAGTTCTCTTAATATTTCAGAATAAGAAACTGTGTTCTATAAAATGCCATTAAACATTAAATACAGCTTGTTGATAGAAACAAGCATCTGAAATTAAATTTATGCTGTTTGGTAAAAGTGAGCAGTCAACAAAGCTATTAGCTGAAAATGACATTGGGCTATTGTTTTGCCACTTACACCTCATTTTTCATTGAATGGTTTACTAGAAATTTTCAACAGCCTAGAAATAGAAATTTGATTACTAAGGACAAAAATGAACACAAACATGCCTTTGCAGCAGCATCTTCAGCTTCTCGCTTATGTTTGCTGATGTTGTGGTCTAATTCCTTAATTTTAAGCTGAGAATCATTGTTTTGCTCCTTATATTTTGCCACTTCTGCATATTTAGCTTTAATTATATTGTCTTGTGCAGTTATTACTTCCTTTTGCTTGGTCACCTCTTCTTGAGCTTTATTTACTAAGTCCTAAAACAAAACAAAATTAAAAAACAAAAAAAATTAAAACAAAAATAGAGAATACATAATAGAATTAAGAGTAGATATGTATTTTTCTTAAGCCTTGTACTACAAGTTTACCAGATAGACCTCTGAACAAAATGTCAATGAGATTACAGGCAGATGGTCATGGACCTCTCTATACTTCAAATATCCATTAAGATAACTAATGAATTACGTAGGAACAAACTTGGATTATTACTTAAAAATCTGATTGAGGTTCACATTAGAATTAATAGTTTTTTTTGTTGCATGCAGTATACAAGGAATTAACTAGGTGGAAGGAGGTGGTAGAAAGCTGACCCATGAGACCTTTCAGAAATCACAATTCCCTATAGATAAAAGGAAAAGCTGATAGACCTCAAAAGGACATATTGGGGAAGTGCAAAGTTCAGGGATAGAGCATAGAGACATGGGAGAATGGGCTTTGCTCCTTTTCTCTCCATAGATGTAAGGCTTTGGATTTTGCCAGTGGCAACGGGTCACAGCATTTGGTTATAATACAGAATCAAACAAATGGAAGAGGAAAAGAAAATGAATCTTTTTTTTTTTTTTGCAAGAAAATGTTCTCTAGTACAGAGAAAAATGTTCTTGCCCTGACTTTTCACTATGTTCTAATTCCCAGGGCTGAGCTACTTAAGCTCCTTAGTGCTAATTACAGTTTGAATTAAGTCAGCTATCAGCATCCTCCAAACACTCTTGTTTAGATATTAAATATCCTAGATCTTAAATATCCTTTTGGTAAAGATATAACAAATACTCAAAAAAATTTTTAAAAAATAAAGCATCGAGAAAAAAAAACTAGCTCAAGTTATATTTCAGTTATGGGAAAACAAAAAAGGGCAAAAACGAGTTAAGTAGGTCAACTTGCCAAAAAGACTCTAAGGAAGAACAGATCTCCTTGAGAAATTATAAAGCATCAGTAAAAGTTTAGGTATTAATTTAGACAGACTCAACAGGAAACGATCATATCGAGCAACAATATTCCATGTTAGGTTCTTAAATATTCCTAGAGTGATTTAATTTCCTATAAACTAAACTGTGTCATTACTCTGCAGGAGCAAGATAAAAATCTCACTGTTCATTTTAGATTTCAAAGATACTTTAGTATCATAAAACCCTTGATGAAATGTTAGGGCATGCTGACTGATGTTTGTAATCTCAGCTCTCTGGAGGCTGAGGCAGGACAATTTCAACCAGCTTGTGATACATAGTGTTCCAATCTCAATACACAGTGAGAAATATGTAACTACATATAGTCTAGCTACATAGTAAGACTTGTTTCATCTAGTTTCCTTCTCTCAAAAAAAAAAAAAAAATCCTCCCACTAACAGCAAAAATCTTGAAAAACAGTAAGTGAATAAAATGCTACTAACACCAAATGCGTTTTATTAAAAAAAAAAGTGTTCTTGACAAAAGAATATTTATAGTCTCTCATATCTAAGGATTAGATGTTATAGTGTACATGTGACTGCTTATCTATTTTCTTTTAAACAACTTATCACCTAAGATTGATTACGAATGGAATTTCCATCTTGTTTATCTCAACACAATTAGTAAGCAGTTAATTTCTTCTCCCAGGACTTATGCTTATCTACTCAGCAAAAGAAAATAATTTATACTGTAGAGCCTGAAGGAAGAACCTTCAAAGACAAAGAAGTTCATTTTATAATTTTCTGTTAATAGAAAGATTCTCTCGTCATAAAAATACCTACATGTTTTGATTTTATGTGTACTTAGATGAAAGAAAAAGTTTGTTATTGAATTTCTCTTTATTTTCACATTTCCATTTGGAAACACGTTATCTAATTTTTAAAAATTCTATAACACAATGTTGATGAAGAACTAGCCTGATGATAGAGGAGCATATGAGATGAAAAACAAGTGAGATTAAGAGCAAGTAAGTCAGAAATAAAACATTTTTTAAAAAATGATTTATATAAAGCAGAAAGGAAAGTGAACAAAAGCTGCTGAATATCTAGGCAGCAAAATAAAACAAAGCTGGGACAAATTGTGATTTCTTAATGTTAGAAAGGGGTGGTTAAAATTATTTCATTAATGGTTCAATAAATGATGTGTTAAAATAACAGCAAAACCTAGATATAACCAAAAATAAGTCATACACATACTTTCTAAAAACAAGGTACTACAAATAATTTAGTCATCACAGGGGAAAACAGAAAAGCACAGATGCAGATGATCAAAGGCAAAATGCTCCTCATTACAAGTATGTGACTGGACGAAATTCCCTTGTTAAAAGTCACATGCATTTAGCTATCATGAAACTTAGGGGACAGATACTACTTGCAAAACTGGTTTCTAAAATCATATGACAGGAAACAAATGTAATATTTCAAAAGGAAAATAGGAGAAGCAATAATATGAAGCCAAACAGAATTTAAGATGAAAAAAATATATATCACTGTTCATGAGGGACAGCCTCTAATAAAGAAAAAAACAAAATGTATTCTATCACAAAATCCTTTCAGGGCTAATTCTACCATTAACTGCCCTGTTTCTGAAAATGGAACATTTTCCTGTCAGCTCCAACAATACTAAGCCTCATCAATGCATGTTACTGTAGGGATACTCTTAAGAGAAAGTTTTACTTGCAGCCTCTAGATATGCTTTTCTCAAAGGCAGATTTATGTGCAGAGGCTAGCAGCTGATATGTGAAGCAAGCAGCTTCACATGTTTCTAGTCTGGGTACCATCCAGTGGCCAGCATTCTTAGGAATCTATTTCCCAGCAGGTTACACACATACTCAGCATTTTATTTTATTTATTTATTTATTTTTACTCAGCATTTTATTATGGTCAGCCTCTCCTCGCACCCTATCAACTTCACCACCTATGGCCATGGCTCTGACTTCTACAGTCGTATCTGTTTTTCAGCCCTGTGTGCAGATTAGGGCTCTCTGCCAGATTTTTTTCTGTCTATGTATGTACCATGGACAGCTAGGGGTGATAGCTAGCTATTATTCTTTCTAGTCATCCTGTATTATTTAGAATTTTCATTATTCATTAGTAATCACTCCATAACATCTGAAATTCCATTGTGGTTTAGAAATATATTATAAATGTATTTAAAACTGCCTGTTTAAATACACTGGCTTTTGTTTTTTAATTACATTTAGATTACAATAGTTATTTTGATGATATTTTAGAACTCTTTCTGGATCAGTAATTACAACTTTGGCCCCTGCTTTCATAACAAGTAAAAAGAGGCAGAGCACTAAAGTCAGTTATCTTGATGTATCATTTCACAGATGACCTTTTTTCTTTCTTTCTAAGCCAGCCCCAGCAAAAAGTTTATTAGGCTATTTGAGAAATAAGCTAAAAACAAAAGCAGAAGAGCCAGGGCTAATTGGTAGAGAACCTGCCTAGCCAGTGCCAAGTTCGGTTCCAAGGAAAGAAGAAAAATAGAGAAGAGGAGGAAGAAGAGCTCATAGATGACCTTTTTTTTTCGGGGGGGGGGGGGGGGGGAAGGGGGGGGGAGAAGGGGTCCAGTTGTGGGGCCTGAACTCTGGGCCTGGGCGCTGTCCCTCAGCTCTTCAGCTCAAGGATAGCACTCTACCACTTGAGCCACAGCGCCACTTCCGGCTTTTTTCTTTTTGTTTATGTGGTGCTGAGGAATCGAACCCAGGGCCTCAGGCATGCAAGGCAAGTGCTCTACCACTGAGCCATCTTCCCATCCCATAGATGACCTTTTTTTTTTTTTTGGGTCCGGTCGTGGGGCCTGAACTCTGGGCCTGGGCACTGTCCCTCAGCTCTTCAGCTCAAGGCTAGCACTCTACCACTTGAGCCACAGCGCCACTTCCGGCTTTTTTCTTTTTGCTTATGTGGTGCTGAGGAATCGAACCCAGGGCCTCAGGCATGCAAGGCAAGAGCTCTACCACTGAGCCACCTTCCCAGCCCATAGATGACCATTTTTAATTTTTCCAATTTGATAAATCTTACCTTATTTTTAGCTACCTCTGCTGCCATTACTTCAATCTGAGCTTCATAGGATTTGATAGCTTCATTTACAGCTTCAAGGTGCTGATTATAAGATGCATGTTCTCTCTTTAGCTCTTCTAACTCTAGAGTGATAGCTTCAACTTCCTAGAGAAACAAAGGTACTCACACAGGTTTTTAACTACTGGCAAACACATATATACAAGAACTAAAAATGAACATTCTTATGCAAGTACATCCCACAGCTTAGTTATCACTCAGTTACCAAAATTACATGTGTTTAAGCTATTTTTATTTCCAGAAATGGAAATTTATTTTCCTAAGTTAAAAAAGACAGTATATGTAATTTTTATGCATTTAACTAACTGCATAAATTACTTCATGCTTTTGTTAATATAGAAAAAATGTAAAATTCTGTAACAGATGAATTCGTTTTATTGCATAAATTTAATGCGCAAAAAAGTCAAATTTAAAGTTTTCTTTCTTTTCTTTTTTCACATTTCACTCATTTGAAAATATTATGTGCACCTATAATAATGGAATTTTAAAGTGGGAAAAAATTGTAAAGAAAGGTAGAACCAGAAAAAACTGAAGAACAGTGTTAGAAACTGGGTTTAGTTCTTGGAGTCACAAAGTTCACATTTCAGTTTTTGCACAATTCAATAAAAGGACTTCTTAGGAAACAAAAATGTCAACTGAGTGAATCTCTGACATGTCATAGCTCCCAATCCATATAACCCATTCTAGAAGCTCTCATCAGCATGCATCAGCTAATGACCTAAAATCTGCAAGCCAATACAACCTGTACTCACAACATGTGACGCTCAATAAAGGGTTTTATGAGAATTTAATTAGTTGCCTATTTCCTAGACAAAACTCACTTTTAGATTTCCTAAGCAGTACTGATAAACAAGGCTATCTTATGATTGTCTACCTTCTACTCTTGATTTTAAAGGATCAGTTAAAACTCAAGAAGTTATTTATTACCTGTTGTTTTTCCTTCATTTTCTTGCTAGATGCATCTGCTTTGGTTTTGGCACAATCCAGATTTTTCTGAGCATCCTTTAATTCTCTTTCTCTTTCAGCTTCTGCATTTTTCATTTTATTCTCCAATATCTCATATTTTTCTTCTGCTTTTTTTTGGACTTCTTCTGTGTTTCTTAAGGTCTCTTCACTTTCCTCTAAATTATTAAGTAGTTGAATGAAACAAAATTAACTATTAGAGATAAGGCTGCTAAATTCAATCTCTCTTTGAATGATGGTAAGGGGATTTGAACTTGAGCTAAGACTCCAGTTCATTTAAATTTTAGTTACTTTCAGGAAGTGTCTCAGGTTTTGCTGGGGACCAGTCCATGTTCCTCCTACACACTAGCTGGGAATATAGTCAGTTTGTTAAGATGGGAGAGTCCCTCAGTCTAAGCAAAAAAGTTAAGGAGTTTCTCCTGGTCTCTGACTTCATCATAAGAAATGGATCAGAAAATTTGAAGCTAGAGTTTAAAAAAAACTTTAATTCTTATAACAATATTCTACACATATATATATGTATTTTGTTTTGTTTTGTTTTTGGGCGGGTACTGGGGCTTGAACTGAGGGCCTGGGCGCTGTCCCTTAGCTTTTTGCTCAAGGCTGTTGCTCTACCATTTGAGCCACACCACCACTTCCGGCTCTTTGCTGGTTAATTGGAGAGCCTCATTGACTTTCCTGCCTGGGCTGGCTTTGAATCATGATCCTCAGATCTCAGCTTCCTGTACAGGTGTGAGCCACAGGTGCCTGGCAGAAATGGTGTATTTTAAACATAAATCACACTTAGGAACATATTCGCATTATCTAAAGATTTGTGAAATTATTTCTAATGATATAAAATTGAGTTAGATAAACTTTACTTATGAATTAGATAAACTTTACTTATAACTTACATACTTTAGAAAGGTTTAACATAAGAATAATTTTTTTTTTCAGTGTTAGGATTGAATCTAGAACCTCAAGTATGGGAAGCACATGCTCTGCTTTAATATTGATCTGCACCCTCAGTCCCACAGTTTATAGCATTAACAATACTGCTTTCTAGAACGAGAACCAATAGTATGGCCATGGTATTTATCCATAATTTTAGGTGCCAGAAAGCTCACAGTGGTTCTTTGTTCATATATGCACATTCATGAAACCTTTTGATGGAGAAATAGAGCAAATATCAAAATAAAAGCCACTGTATACAAGGCAATCCTATTTTTTTTTAAGGTTAACAAAAGTTAAGGAGGTAGCTATATATTGAATTGTATTGACTATTAAAACTTTACTTAACAAAAAAATGGTAAATATGAAGTTAGAAGAAAAGTAGCCAAAAAAAAAGCTGTAGTGCATAGAATCTGCAAGAAATTATAACTAATAAGTATAAAAACAGTAGGGGAAAAACTCACTAAGAAAATACACACAAAAGAAATATGAAATTCACATATGTAAAAATTCACATATGTAAAAGTCCCATAAACACACAAGAAAAATCCCAGTATTACAAGTAGTAAGGACACACAAATTAAGTTAACTAAAATTAAAGTATTACCTTTAAAACCATCAGATTGCAAAATTTTTAGTCTAGAAATGAGAACTTTCACTGGTGGAAATGAATATAAGTAAAAAAATTGACAAAATTGTGGTACTGTATTAAAGATGAAAACGATCATATCCTAAGACCCAGAAATACTACACTGGCAATTACTCTACAGAAATGAATGTGTCTTATTACAGTCTTCTAAATGTAAGCTAAAGGAGTTCAGCAGAAATATATAAGCACAGAATGCTTCAATCTTACCAATAGTTTTCTTAAGAGCATCTAATTCTTCTTGTTGCTTGTGATAGGAGCTTTGTTGGAGCTTGGTTTGTAACAAATCTGCCTCTTCTGCTTTCATCTCCCATTGCTGTTTCAGTTTGTGGTATCTTAGAAAAAGATAAATAGATTTATAATAAACTCTGTAATAAATGTGTTTGAGACATATATTTAAACTTGAGGATCGTATTCATATATATACATATACATATATATATATATATATATATATATATATATATATATATGCTGATATGCCAATGTCATCAAGAAAAAGGATTGCATTATCTTATGCTTGTCTAGGTTGGAAGTAATGCTGTGGCTCAAGTGGTAGCGTACTTGCTTTGAGCTAAGACCTTGGGGACAGCACCCAGACCAAGTTCAAGGCCTGTGACCAACAATAAAATGAAATGAAATAAAATAAAATGGACTAGGTTAAAGTGTAAAGCAAGATATAAAAGTGTAGCTCTTTAGCCTGGTAAGTATGACTTTGAAAACTGGTTGTCAGTACCACACTGTACTTAAAATAGTCTTTCTGTAAGAAGTTTCTGCATAGAAAAGGATATAGTTAACATGGTGAAAGATAGTATATAGAATAGATCTTTGCTAGCTATGTGTCAGACAATGGCATAATATTCAAGAAACTAAACCTTCAGAGAATCAACAGCCCAATTAATAAATGGGTAAACAAGCTACATAAAGACTTCTCAGAGAAGTAACAATGGTCAATAGACACATGAAGAAATGCTCAACATCTCTGGTCATAAGTGAAATGATTCGAACACTGAAATTTCATTCACCCCCAGATAGAATGGCCATCATGAAGAATATGAACAACAGATGCTGGCAGGAATGTAAATTTGTTCAACACCAATACACCAATGGTGGGAATGTACGCTTGTTCAACTACTCTGAAAAGCAGTCTGGAGATTCCTCAAAAAAACTAAACATGGAAACTATCTTGTGATTCAGCAATACAACTCTTGGGCATTTATCCAAAAGAATACAAATCAGGAAACAGTAAAGCCAGTTGTACAACCATATTCACTACTGCACTATTCATCATAGCTAAGGTATATAAACAGCCTGGATGTCCCTCAATGTATGAATGGATCAGGAAAATGTGGAATTAAGATTTTAATCTTAAAAAGAGCAATACTGCATCATTTGCAAAAAAATGGAAGGACCTAGGAAAATCCTGTTAAGTGAAGTAACTGAGGCTCAGAGATAAAGGATGTCATGTTTTCTCTCACACGTGGAAGTTAGAATTTATAAATATACAATGAAACACATATACAGCGTTACAGGTAAGTGTACACACATGTATTAACTTGTATGGTACTTACAGGAGAGAATTGAAATGTTCTAATTCCTTAGAAAAACTCACAGGCCACACAATAATACCAGGAAACTAGCACTTGAAAGGTGTGTGGGGGATGGAGGCAAGTGAATGAAGAGACAAAGGGAAAAGAATGTAGTCATAATATTCAATGCATATCCTATTATATTAAGAAAACTGATGGCAGTGTGGTAAAGGATGGAAGAGAATGAAGACATCAAGATGGATTGTACTTATAAACTGATTTGTTGGGATTGTACTTATAAACTGATTTGTTGAAAATTCCTTTGCACAAATACTTAGATAATAAAAATATAATTTAAAAAAGCAAAGTCTATAAGCTTTGTAGCCACTTTTAAAAATCACTTATAAAAAACATGAAAAAAATCAAAAGAAAAAATATTATATCTGATGTTTTGAAAGCCACAACCACGTTGAAATCTGATTTGATGATGAAAAGTAAACTTGTATTGTTATTATTATTATTTTTTGGTTATTGTGGGGCTTGAACTCTGGGTCTAAGGTCTATCCCTGAGCTCTGCAGCTCAATGGAATGCTCTACCACTTGAGTCACAGTGCCACTTCCTGTTTTCTGGTGGTCAATTGGAGGCAAGAGTCTCATGGACTTTCCTGCCAGGGTTGGGTTTGAATCTCAGCCTCCTGAGTAGCTGGATTACAGGTGTGAGCCACTGGCACCTGGCTGAAAAGTAAACTCTTAAGTAACCAAGATCCATAGTAACTATTTACAAAATAGTATGAAACATTAAAAACTACCTTTGAGTAAACAAGTTTTCTAAATGCTTCCTGTTGGTTTGTATCTAAAATTCAATATTACTCATCATAAAAACCCATTATTCCAATTGCATTAAATACCAAAACCATATTATCAAATTATTAATCTTCTTTTGTAAATGTTAGTACTAATGTCCTCTACTTTTGATAGTGAAAGTCCATTCAAGAGGATACAGTTTTGACCTTAATCATTTGTAATATACTGTCTTACAACCCTTGTAATTTTACCATAAATCCATCTTATTCTTTCTTAGTGTTTCTTTGGAAAGTTTTTAGCTAATTCAGTCACAGTAGAATTTCAAGTTAATGTGAACTGACAAAATACCTTCCTCACTAGAAATTCAGATGGCTTCGAAGCAAAAGGATGTAATTCATAAAATATAAGCACTCAAGTATCATTGCCTCAAACTGTGCTTGACAACAAATAATACTGTAATACAAACTTCAAGACATTTTTTAAAATGTAGATTGTAGAGATGTTTGAGAAAAATATACTACTTCCCATATGATGGAGAAAACTGGTTATTGCTGATCTTTACATTTTTTTTTTTGTGAACACACTGTACAGAGGGGTTACAATTACATGGGCAGGATAATGCGTACATTTCTTATCAAGCATTGCAACCTCCTCCTTTGTTTACCCTTCACATCCCTTCCCAGCCTCTCCCCCCCATCCTCCTCACCTCCCACCCCCCCCTCCCACCAAAGTTGTAAAGCTCGTTTTTGACATGACAACTTGTACTTCTCATTGTTGCAACAGGTCCACCTGTATCCTTAAACGACTTGTTTTTCCCCATCTCCTCTACAAGTTATACTGACATCAAATATAGTGAAAGTAACTTTTTCAAAATCAATGCCTTTCTTTTGCCTCAGTGTCACAAGGAGAATGAATGACCCAATAGCACTGAACATATTAATAGTTCTAAGGAATACATAAGTATATATCTATATAATTTGTAAGGAAGCAAGCTAGAGCTTCCATGTAGCAAGGATAAACTTGTTCCAACTTCCTCACAGAAAAAGTTCATTTATTCTGGTTAATTTATGTTAATGAAAGTAAAAATGAATTTACATATATGTGATGTTTAAAAGTAGGCATTTTGATATGATTAATACCTTGACTACATGGAAATCTCTAAAACTTAATTCCCCTTCCTGGCAACATTTAAGACTTTTTACAATTTTACCTTTTCAAATAAAACCAAAAGGGTACTATGAAAAACTTAGTATTTAAATACAAAAAAATTCTATTTCTTTAAATAAAAGCAAAAGATTTGGGAAATCTTAATTAAACAAAAATCTTACTTTTCAGCAGTGTTTTTAAGACCAGCTAGTTCTTCCTCTAAAGCACGCAGCTCACTCTCCTTGATTCTCATTTCATCTTGAACAACTTTGAGTTCTTGAAACTTAGTTAAAATAGAAGCTGCCTGGGATCGAGCACCTAATAGGGCAAATTGAAACAGTCCTTGCACGTTATATTACTACATGCTTAATAAAGAATATTAATAAGTAAACAATTTTTTCTAAGAGAACTATATAAGAAATATTTCAATGGCAAATCCTTTAGAACTCATGATGCTAAAGAAATCACTCATCACTTGAATCTTAAAATAATACCTGATGAGAACCAGTCATAAGTAGATGTAGTTTTGTTTATTCAGAATAACCACTATCCTATCTATTGGAAGCATCCTTCAATAGTCCATTTCAACTGATGCTTCATTATGTAATTTGGTCTTGTCATTTAAATGGGAAATAAGTATTCTTTTTCTCAAAGCAAGCTTTGGGAAGCAGCATGCAAGTCACCATTTACTTTCCCTTTGCCATGAGAAAATCATGTGGAAGACAGGAATTAATCTTTCAGACTGAGTTACAGAAAGAAAAACATAACAACAGAGGAAACTAACTTGCAATAAATGTAGTATAATTATGGAATAAATTTGTAAGTTATGAGGATTTAAAGTTGCCAAATCATAACCTGGCTTAATTTTTGATACAGCAGAGCAAGCAGAATAAGCTGACTTCCCATTATTGAACCAGGAACCATATCATCTGTCAATGACAGCTTCAAGTATTACACTGATAGAAAACTGTAGGTTTGATGGAAGGAGGCCAAAGTCAATTAGCAATGCTATTAAAAGTTCTTTATTAATAGGATAGATTTAGAAATTTCTTAAGTGAAATTTAAGAGCACTTGCATCAATAAAAGTCTAAAAAGTTTCTTCTGATTTAGATTATATAATATTATTTATCTTCCACTTGCAGATACTAGTCAAGTTTATTGGGGAATCTGATACTTGAACACAGAATTCATTAATTGGCTAATGAAACATTAAGTCACTCTGGTCCCCAATATACAGTCAGCTTTCTAGGTTAAAAGCAAACTGGATTCCAAGTTACTTAAGCATCCTGTTTTTAATTTGGGCAACTGTTTGTGGTGTAAGACATTATAAAATGATAAAAAAATATACTATATATCTGCATTGTCCAATTATTAATTAACCTTTTGTGATCAATAAACATTGAAAACACAAGTGCAACTGAGAAAATAATTTTAATTATCAAATGTAAGGAGCCACATGTGGTAGTGGCCAATGTAATGAACAGAGATCTGGAATGTCAATGTGACAAATATTAAAACATGAAGAATATGATTCAAAACAGTGATACATGTAATTCAACTATTTGGGAGAGGGAGTTAGGAGGACTGTAGTTTGAGGCCAGGTAAGAAACCCTATTTGAAAGACAAACTAAAAGTGAAAGGACTAGGTACATGGCCTGTGTTGGGAACAAGGACTTGAATGTCCAGTATCATGGGGGGGTGGGGAAGGGGTGAGAACATGATCACTGCCTACAGATTTTCGTTTTTTCAGTTCCGGTCGTGGGGCCTGAACTCTGGGCCTGGGCGCTGTCCCTCAGTTCTTCAGCTCAAGGCTAGCACTCTACCACTTGAGCCACAGCGCCACTTCCGGCTTTTTTTTCCCTGCTTATGTGGTGCTGAGGAATCGAACCCAGGGCCTCATGTATGCAAGGCAAGCACTCTACCACTGAGCCACCTTTTTAGCCCTTGCCTACAGATTTTCTAAGGCACTTATAAGGCACCTCATAAAGAGTTTTCACTTTAGACAGGTGCAGTGGCAGCACTGATATGATAGGTAGTTAGCGGGTAGTTAGGCTAAAAGTGTAATTATTATAAAGACTTTATTTCCTGTGACTGTAACTAAACAAGATTAGAATTTATATGCAACTTCAACTATGAATATCCCACTGACTGGCATTTCCGGACAGGACAGGAAAAATAAATAGGAATGGATTTGTGATGATTAAAAGAAGCCATAGGATTGACTAACATACTGGTAGCTCATTTTACTTACAACCTAAATATTAGACACAGTCTTTATGTTTATAAGGCTATGAAGATATTATTTTGTTTTTGGGTGGTCTTGGGGTTTGAACTCAGAGCCTATGCTAGGCCACACCATCTCTAGTTTTAGGTAGTTATTTTTCATATGCTTTCTACTTATCTACCCATGATGCTTTGAACCATAGTTCTCTAAATTTCAACTTGCTGCATATTTAAGCTTAAGTGTAAGACCTGGATTCTAATCTTGGTTCTAATTAAAGACTAAGAATAAAGCTCTAAGATAAGTCATCCCAACCAAGAAATAGAGACTTGTTTTATTTGCAACACAGGATTATAAGGACAAGAAAAGAAACTGACCTCCACTCAATGTCCCATGAGGATCAAACACATCTCCTCCCAGAGTTACAGTTCTAGTCATTATTCTTTTATCAAAGGCCACTTTCTTGGCATTATCCATATTGTCACAAACAAATGTTGTTCCAAAGACAAACTGCATAGCTTTCTCAAGTTCTGGTTTGTATTCAACCAGGGAAAGGGCTACGTGAACATTGTTAGGACCAACCTGTATGGAAACAAATGAGCCACAGTGCATATTATTTCCTTTCTTTTGATATATTACTTATAAACCAATGAGAAAAGCTATTTAGGCAATATTTACTTTGTACTCAAATTCTTATGAATAATTTACTAAAAGCTATGTAAAATTTAAAGTAAAAAAATATAGATTTAAACACTGAAAAATCTATTACTAAGTAAAATATTTAGCTAAATTACCAGGCAGCATGAGAATTTGTCAAGAAGTAGCCAATGCCAAATCGGTCAATCTAAAATGCACTATACAAGCAGAACTTTCTTACAAGTACAATAACTCTCAGATCAACGTAATTATACCACTTGTTTAAACTACTAATAATTTGGTTGTTCCAAAGTGAAGGTTTTTTAGTCAAATTAAAAAACTATAAACTATAGCAGCCGCCTGACAATTACACCAATGAAAATACAATAATGGAATTAGAATAAGTGAAAAAGCACTAAGTCTTTTATTTTGAACCAACTGCCTCTTTACAACTTCTGTTTATAACATTTACAGATTATCTTTTTAGAAAAATGAAGTATATCTATAGAACTTAGCATAGGTCAAAGAAAAAAACAACCAAGTTTGATGTAACACTATGTTGTTTTGTTCTTTGAGATAGTAGCTACTGTTAAAACTGGTCTAGGCAACAGATCTGAGAGCAAGTATTTTTGCTGTCACTGGAAATCAAATTAACATCTACTGGGACTTGACCCTTACAGCTAAATTAACTTCAAGAGCCTTTCTGACCTAAAAAGATGATTTTCTAAGTGAAAGAAATACCAACCAAAAAACACTACCATTCAGTTATTAGGCACTTATCCACACATGCCAATACAACAGTACTTCAAAATGATTTTCATTGAAAGCATCTCAATTTCAGCAAGGAAAATGGGTGTCTATTCAATGTCCCAAATACAAATGCTATTTCTAGGATTCATAGAATTGTCTTTTCAACTCACATATTTAGAATGCCTATTCAATAACAAACTAGTTTTGTTACTAAGTTATATATTTATCAGCTAGCGTCAGTTTTTTTTTTTATTTTACCACGTATTACAGATCCATGACAACTTTTAAAATATATTTCCTTGTACACATCAATTTTCTTACTAGTGGTCATATCACCATTTGTCCACTGCAAAAATAGTTGACTGTTTATGGGCTAGATAGCAAAACCTGAACTTTAATAAGTATCTCTGCAATAATTATGGATAGTTTTCTATAGTTGTCATTGTAAGCAATTTAAGCATGCCTGACATTAAAGGTAAAAGAGTGCAGTATTTCAAATATTAATCTGTAAATTTCCATTCGAACTTCAGAAATCTGAAGTTTAATTTTCACTACTACTCAAGAGTCATGTGAATATCTAAAGTTAATGTCATTCTAAGACTAAAGTCATTCTAGCATTAATTTTTGAATTATTAAAGGGAGTTCTAATCTAATACTTTTATTCTCTTGCCATCTAATTGCAGAAAAGAGGCAACCCTAGTATTTTTCCATCTATTTTTTTTTTCCAGGGCTGAGGACCGAACCCAGGACCTTGTGCACGCCGGGCGGGTGCCCTTCCGCTGGGCTAAACCTGCAGCCCCTCTAATTTTTTTTTAACCAAATTAGAACTTTTGTGGTCCTCCTTTTTTGTCCCCTAAAGTTAGTGTTTTCTAACATTAAAAATAATGGTACAGTTTAAAGTACAATTAAGATAAGAAAACTTACAAGGTTTTGAGCAATCTTCAGAGTTTCTGGAGCAATACATCTGGCTGAAATTTTATTGAGAGGAATTATAGTGTAACGACGCTTCAATTCCCCTTTCTCTAGCAACTTTTTACCAGTAACCTAAAACATTCATTTGAAATTGAAAAAATTATTAATGATGATAGAAAATATTAAACAAGACAAGTGTGAAAGTTTAGGAATCCATCATCAAACAAATGTTTATTGTATCTTAGTCCCAACAACTCAAGTTTATGAAAACACACAATGGATTATTAGTCAGCCTTAAAAAAGCTGCTGACAATTACACTAACATGAATGAATCTGAAAAATATTTATGTGGTCACATAAGACAGACTCAGAAAGAAAAATACTACATGATCTCAGGTATATGAAGACTCTTAACCAAAAAAAAAAAGAAAGGAAGAAAGAACAACAAAGTTAAACAAAATAATCTGGTTATGGTGGCTTAATCTGTAATCCTAGCTTCTCAGGAAGCTAAGATCTGAAGATAATGCTATGAAGCCAACTTGTACAGGAAAGTCTGTGAAGCTCAAGTGGTAGAGTACTACTTGAGCAAAAAGAAAAAAAAACCTCAACCACTAGCACTAGGACTGCTAGGGCTGGCATAAACAACACACACACAGACACACACACAGAAGAAAGGGTTACTTGGGACAAAGAGAAGAAAAAAAATAAAAGAAGACACAATGGTATTTAGCTTCATTTTTAGTTAGGCAGGAAAAATAAGTCTAGAAATACAAGTCATAGCATGAGAACTATAGTTAATACTGTATTGTATTCTGAAAATTTGCCATGAGAGGTATAGATTTTGGGTGCTATTCTGACCAAAGAGGGTATAAAATCATCATATACAATATGAGGATATGTTACTAAATTCAGCTATAATAGCCATTTTACTATATAGTAGTGTATCCTTTCAATGCATTAAAAAGATTAAGACACCAAAACAGGTTATTTACTTCCAGATCATTTACCATTTAAGTAAATATTAACTTACATAGCATGAAAGTAAATCTCTAGAATAAAGTTATTTTAAAAAAAAATCAGTAACTGAATAGTTGGATATTGTAAAAATAATTGACCTAGGAGGCCCTAAAACATAAAGTACCCAATTCTTCTAGCAGCATCCTGTTTCCAAGTGGAACACTAATTTTAACTTTAAATAGAATCAGCTTACCTCTGTGTCTACTACAACATTGTACAGTCGTTCCCCAGCCACTAATTCTAAAGCTGTGGTAGCAGAAGTGTCTTTCACATTAATAAGAGAAGCTACAAGTCCTTTTACACAGTTTCTATTCCAGTTCTTCTCTGGATCCCTAAAATAGCAAAGTAGAAGAAAATTAAGTTATTTGACAAGAATTCTCCCTACTGACTTTTGAAATGTTCCAATAAATGTTTAAGGGGGGAAAAATAGCAATTAAAGGAAAGGAATTTAAAATTTTTTCATACAAAAATCTTGATGTCAACAGAATTGTCAGATTGCCTCCCAGCATAACCAAAAATATATTTTAGTTATTACTACAGTAAAATACAATGTTTAAGTTTAAGTCTCTTACTTGTATGCAAATCCAAGATTAGGAAATCTGGCCAAAAGAGCTTCATATTTTTCTTTCAATCTGTTGATATCACGAGACAGCTGCCTACGCTTTTCCAAAAGGTTTTCCTCCTTATTTTCTGAGGATGAAAGTGTTAAGTAAATTGAAACTGAGTTTAAAAATTCTACCATGTTAATAAAAATATAAGGAAAACCTTCTTCAGAAGAATTCCTAGAAACAAATATAAATTTCTGGTAAGTATTAAATAAAAAGAGGTATGCTTACCATTCAAGCATCTACTCAATTGTCAAGCAGACATACAACATCAAATAGTACAATATTTATTCCAAGAAACCACACATGAATTGAATGTCTTCTAATGTACGAAATGTACAAAAAACATTTCCTGAGTTCCAAGTAACTGAAATTCTCAATAATGTGTTCTCAAACATCAAAGGGATGTTATGTACTTATACTTTTATGGCATTTAGAAACAAGTATTTCCTACTTATTTATTGCCTTTTAGTTTCTATTAACTATGTCCTAATGATTAAATTATCATGTCTTTAAAGTCAAACCTTCATAATTTAATTTCTTCATTTCAGTTTCAAGTTTTTCTTTGAGTTTTTTTACAACTTCTAAAGCTTCTTGGTCCTTCCTGTAGCCGCTATCCATCTTCTTCACTTCTGCTTGTTTACTCTTCAATTCCTGCTGGGCATGTTTCAACTTCATTTGAGCCTGTGATAGAAAAATGTAACTGACTACATGAAGCAGTGTGCTAGTAATTAAATGGCCACAGATTCAGATTGGCTTAGGATATTTTAGCCTTGAAAATGTAACTGGTCTCTTTAGATTAATATTCCAAAGATGACTCATTTACCAAAGATTACTCATTTTTTCCTCAAAAAAACTACTCATATTATACATGAACATACAACTAATATAAATTATTAAAAAGCTAAAATATGTGTTTTTAACTATTCATAAAATATAACATAAACATGTAAGAAATATAACAAAGTTGAAAATTTCTGTCCAATGATTAGTAGCTGGTTTAATTTAAAATACAACAAAATGCTACAAATCACAACTCTAGTTCTTTTCCATTTACGTGCTCATATATGTATTTGTGTATGTTTGTCAGAACTGGGTAGTAACAGTAAAGAAGCTCCATTAAGTGATGAGGAAGAATATAGAAAAAGAAAGTTAAATTTAACCTACACTAGTACCTAGCAAATTTGAGAACTATTAACAAAGTGACAGTCATTTCAGATGACAAAATCAAAGTAATATGACCAAATATTGGAATATGCATGAACATGTGGTAGAGATGCTGATGAAGATATTATAAAGTACAGAAATAAAGGTTTAAGAACTAGAAATGGCAGGCTAAACAGTTGGAATGAGTTTTGTTTTTCTGCTATTTATGTCAAGACAAAGCAGCAATCTGAAAGATTTCAATTTTACAGCATTCTTCAACAATCTATCATCAAAGTTTAAGAATCAACGTTTTTGAATTTTTCTGTATTAGGTACTACAGAATAGAATAAGCTACTTTGTTGACAATATTCTAAACTTTATAACAATTCCAAAGTAGGTGAAAGACAGCTTAAAAAAACCAAAAACAAGATAATCACAGAATGTTTAATGTCTGTCTTTACCTGTTTGGCCTCTGTCTGAGCTTTACTCATATCATTTTTACAGGCTATCATTTGACCAGCAAGAGTTGCTTCTGCTCCATCTTCATTACTGGACAAGCCTGCAGAAACAGCATTGAAATGCTGTTGAGCAGCAGCCAAAGCTTCAGCATCTTTATTACTTGCTTCTTGAAGGCTATGCAGTCCATCTGTTATCTTTTTCATTTCCTTCTCCTTTGTTGCTAAAGTTTTAGAGTCCTGGAGAAAGAAATACCAAGTTGAAAAATGTTATATTTAAGGAAAACCATCTACTGTATTTTCTTGCATACACATACCCTTATGGCATTAAATTTCAAAGCAATTTGAAGCAGGCATAATAAGGAAAATAAAATAACCACCTCATTCTGAAATTCACCATTTGGGGAATATGACTCAAATACTATGCCTCAAATATTTTCATCCCATATATCAGAGCAAAGTCTAGTCAAATAAATCATGGTATATGTAAATAAATCACTTGAAAAAGTCCCTAAATCTACAAACCTGAAATAAGACATCATACACTATGATTAAAAGCAAATGGTTTAAAATTAGGAGTATACATATTAAACTATTTTAAAAGAATTAGGGGCTGGGAATGTGGCTCAGTGGTAGAGTGCTTGTCCAGCATGCATGAAGCCCTAGGTTCGATTCCTCAGAATCACATAAACAGAAAAAGCTAGAAGTGGTGCTGTGGCTCAAATGGTAGAGCACAAAGAAGCTCAGGAACAGCATGTACGACCTGAGTTCAAGCCTCACAATGGACAAAAAGATAAAATAAAGAATTGGGGCATAGTATGTAAGCAACAGGTAACTTTGGAAAATGTGTTACTAATACTTTACATTTTTAAGGTAGTGTTAACCAGTCAGATGCTAGCCGCTCACATCTGTAGTCCTTGCTGCTCAGGAGGCTGAGATCTGAGGATCATGGTTCAAAGCTAACCCAGGTTGGAAAGGCCATGAGAGTCTTATCTCCAATTAACCAACTAAAAACCATAAGTGGAGTTGTGGTTCAAGGAGGTAGTGTGCTAGCTATGAGCAAAAAGCTCAGGGCCACCTGAGTTCAAGCCCCATAATAGACAAAAAAAGAAAAAGCAGTAGTAATATATCTGACATACTAGTATATGACATTAGCACTAAATAAAAATTCAACTATGTCACTTGTATCAAAGTGACCAGAAATTCTGAATCACTTACTTAACTTGTGATTCATCAAACATTGGGTATTAGATGCTTGTTCTATACTGGGTGATGTTTCCAAGACACTGAAGACACAGACAAAAGACAGAGATCTCAAGGGGCTTATATTCTAAGGTGGAAGACATGGAAAATAAATAAATACAGTGAAGTAAAGGAAAAGTGCTGGGAATTACTATTGTTAAGAATAAGGGCCAGGCATTGATGGCTCATGCCTGTAATCCTAGCTACTCAGGAGGCTGAGGTCTGAGGATCACGGTTCAAAGTCAGCCTTGGCAGGAAAGTCAATCAGATTCTTATCTCCAATTAACCACCTGAAAACCGGAAGTGGAGCTGTAGAGCTAAGGAGGTAGAGCGCTAGCCTTGAGCTGAAGAGCTAAGGGACAGCATCCAGGCCCAGAGTTTGAACCCCATTATCAACCAAAAAAACAAAACATACATTTTTCTAATTTGAGGAGGGGAAGGGAAATAACAAAATGCTGAAACAAGGATACACGTTGACCCATTGTAACAATGAGATGTACAAGACACTATGATGAAAATGAGCTTTACAACTTGGGTGGGGAGGTGAGGAGGTAGGGAAGGAAGGGGTAGTGGGGGAAAAACAAAGGAGGAGGTAACCATACTCAATAGGAAATGTACTCATTACCTTACTCATGTAACTGTAACCCCTCTGTATATTATTTTTACAATAAAAGACAAAACAAAACAAAAAGAATAAGGGAGCTGGGCACTGGTGACTCACACCTGTAATCCCAGCTACTCAGAAGGCTGAGATATGAGAATCAATCCAAAGCCAGCCCAGGCAGAAAAGCCCGTGAGACTCTTATCTCCAATTAACCCAGAAAACTAGAAAAGGAGGTGCGGGCTAGTGTTGAGCAAAAATATCTCAGTGTTAGTGCCCAGGCACTGAGTTCAAGCCCTAGTATACACCCTCCTCCCTGCAAAAAACTGCCAATGAGTTAGAACTCCCTGGAACAGTCAGGGCTTTGTTCTAGTCTTCCTCTACCCTGACAATTATTTAGGCCAATATCTCATATCATCCTAGTGTATAAAATTCAGGGCTGTTTGCTTTCTGAGGTCCCTTAACTATGAACTTCCATCTGTTTTGGGAAGCTTTCCTGAGACACTGGTAACTACTAGCTCACAACAGTCTACATTTTGTTAACTAACTATGTAAATCTATGTTACGTAATACTTTGTTCAAGAGTATGTCTTTTTTTACTGGACTCAGTCAAATAACCAGCACACAGTGAAACTGATTCATATATTTCAAAGAAAGAGTTAAGCCTCATTGATTTTGAAAGTGTGAAAATTCAGAAAGTATTAGGTTTATGTGAGAATCTAAAAAGTAATATAAATACAATATGTCTGTGTGCTAGCTTGGATATGATAACACTAAAACATCAAATGTTAAAGGATGCAGGAAAGGAAACAAAAAAAGACAATCAGTAACTCTGAGGGCTTGCCAAGAAAAAGGAGGGATAAAGTAAGCCAAAAACCAAAGAAGCAACACATAATTTTATTAACCAGACTATAAAAAAAATGACAAACTGATTTCATCTGCTGTGTGCCATAGCAGAAACTGTCATGCATGTCATATTCATGCTTTAATGTTTTGTTTAAATGTTCACTACAATGTTTAAGTCAATTTTATTTCTTGAAAAAATGTCTCATAGGATAGTATGGAGAGATACTTTAGTTTTATGAAGTTAGTAATTTTTTTTAAGGCAAATACTTATTTCATTTACACAGAAGATTCTTCCTCAAAAAAAAAAAATCCTTGAAGGCTCTATCACATACCAACCCATTCATCTACTTGCATTGGACATTGGATTATATACTGGACTCCTGTTACTATCAATTACCTGTTGCTACCACCCCTTGCAAAGGCTACCTCCTCTAACTGTACCTTTGTTCCTATCCTGCATATCTTCTGAGGGCCTCTGTTATAGCAATTCTCCCATGTGTCATTTGAATCACAAATATTATTTCTATTGTGTTTTTATGTTATTTATTCCAAGTAAAGGCAAATGAAAATACTTTTCAATATTGTTTTTCTTTATCCCTTTCAGAAAACTTGAGAAATTATATTCAATCATATTTTTAATATCATGAGTATAAAACACTCTTTTTTAATGCTACTTCTCCTTAAAATATGTTCCCTTAGCCTCTATAATTACTGGTATGATTTTCTTCATATCCTCAGTATCCTTGCTCATTCTCATTTCCCCTTCCTAATAGATGATGAATTATGGTATGACTCAAACTTCAGACCTCTGTTATATACTCTATCCTTGATAATTTTATATATCTCATGAACTTACTCATGACCTTAAATCTGTATTTAATATCCATTTAGGTACCTGTGTAATCAAGATCACCACTCAAGAGGTTTAACAGGCACCATAAACCTATTACATTCATACTGTATTTATTTTCATCACTCAAACTGGTTCTTCATATTTGCCACTTTAGCCGATACAACTCTATACATCAAAAGCTACCCAATTTTAAATCTTAAAAGTATTATTCTTCCTCTAAATCTCCTTTATTTTTTTTCTCCATTAGGTATTACTGTATGTTACATATTTCACTCCCCTACCCACTTCCTTGACAGGGCCCTCAAAGCATACTCTTGACCATTTTATTCACCCACAAAATGGTATCTAGTCCATAGTACACACTTACTAGGTAACAATAGAATAGATAAATGTATGAGCAGAAATTAAGGTTCTTATGTGCTTACCTCAATCATATTTTTTTCTAGCTCTTTGCGTTTATTTTCTTCACTTGCTAGATTTTTCTTCTTGAGGTCAAAAGCACTTTGAGATTTAGTATTAACTCGCTGAGCCTCTGTAAGAGCATCTTCTAAAGATTGGAGTATGCCTCCAATTTCCTATAACCAAATGCGCATAAATTAAAATATGTTCAGGTTGTAATTTTCTTCTATTTCTATACATTTTATTTTTACAATCTGCTTAATTGTGTCACCCTTAGATTAACAAGCCAAATGGGAAGCAATATCCTGTGAATTAAAAGAAGTTGTGTATTTTTCTCAAATTACATTATTAGTTCTAAGTTATTCTAACCTTATCTTTACTTTTCTCCAACTCTTCTATTTCATGATTAAGTGCCTTTATTTTTTTATCATTTTCAGATAATTTTTCTTGAAGCTGTATAACTTTATCCTGCATTTCTTTTAATTCCCCAGCTGAGCGATCTTTGGTATCTTCAGCCAGTAAAAACTGATAAGCAATATATAAACGACTCAAATGTTCTATTTCTCTCATTACTTTTTGGTACTCCAAATAGGAAGATCTTTCCTGAAATAGAAGACAACAATAAATAACACAAAATATATACTTTTAAACAGACTTCCAATATGTATCAATTTTTTTATATAATAGATTTTATCTTAAATAATTATGTAATTTAAAATTTTTGGAAACTTTAATATGAGGACTTAGGCAAGTCAGGCAGTTGGAATTAAATAAGGAATCTTGGTTATAAAGTGGCAATAAAGGAGTCTATGAAGACAATTTAGACTGTCAGGGATATCCTACTGAATGCATTCTGTAGCAATATTACCATGATGTCTACTTAACATTTTTTCAGGTATGCCTACTAATATTTTTTCATATATCATCAAAGTTGATATCCATAAAGGCCAACATAAAGCAGACAAAGTAACAACTAAATTCCTTAATTTGCAGATAAAACAACAAATTTCGATAACCAGTCCATTTCCAGATTTAGAAAAAAATGTAGTAAAATCAGGTTTGAAAGCTAAATTTGAACTGATCTAGTGTTTTCTATGTAATCGTGCACTTAAAAGGAGTATCTTCAAGATCAATATTTCAGCATCTCCAGTATCATTTATACTTAATTCTAAATTTACACTTAATTCTAAATTTAATGGCCATTCAATAAATTCCTTTATGAGTTCCTTTTAAGGCAACATATTTTACAAATGCATTCTTTCAATGAGACATTACCAAAGTCTCGTTACTGTTGGAACAGTAAATGTTATAGAGAAAACAATCCTATTTCAATACTTTTCATGTATAAAATGTCTTAACAGAGATAGTCAGACAAATAACTCCATTATCTTAGAAGTAACCCACTCTAATCTTTAAGATATGTTGTTCCAATCAGTTTCACTTTTAACTATCCAGGAAAATTCGACTTGCTTCTTTTTTGTAGAATATCTTCAGCTAAATTTATTCTTCAAAATTACTAGGAGTAAGCACATATCCTTTACAAGCAGAAGGTCAAATTATGGAGTACCACAATGAACTCAGTTCATAATAGAGTATAATTCCCAGAAAATGGTAGACACTTTATTTCTATTTGCATGATCTGGGAGGTATCACCAATTTTGAAGGCCATCCTGATTGTTGTCACAAATGCCTACCTCTTTCAATTTCTGAATGGTAGGAGTAATCTCTTCTTCAAGTATCTAAAAAATAAAGGAAAACTATTATTTGCAGTCTATCAAATACAATTAAAAAAAAAAAAAAAGTTACATGGGTAACTATGGAAAAATGCACTAAGGGAAATTTTTCCTTGTTTATAGAAACTCTAATCTAAATGAAAAATTACTTTCTTTACCAACTATGTTTTATTTATTTATTTTTTTATTTTATTTTATTTTTTTTTGGTCCGGTCGTGAGTCCTGAACTCTGGGCCTGGGCACTGTCCCTCAGCTCTTCAGCTCAAGGCTAGCACTCTACCACTTGAGCCACAGCGCCACTTCTGGCTTTTTTCTTTTTGCTTATGTGGTGCTGAGGAATCGAACCCAGGGCCTCAGGCATGCAAGGCAAGCGCTCTACCACTGAGCCACCTTCCCAGCCCCACCAACTATGTTTTAGGTAAGTTACATTACCGATTTTATTTCTTTCAGCTTAGCTTCCTTTTTTTCTATTGTTTTCTGGGCTGCTATTTTTTTGTATTCGTACATTCTAGTTCCAGCAGCTTCTTCTATCATGGATAAAATCTAGAATGACAATTGTATTAAGAATGTAAGTTAATATTTCTCATAGTAATTTACATGATATAGTTGACAGATTGACCTTGCTTAGATCTTCTTCCTAATAATCCCAAAGAACATAAAAGTTAAATAGATATATGTACACACATTAGCTACAATCCTTATATTCAAGACACGTATCTGGCATCCTTGATCTTCTGCAATAGTAAGTTCCTTAAGTTTTTTTCTTCTATAATTGAAGCAAAGGATTCCTATTTCCATTCAAATACAAGTATAAAAATGGCAAAGAAAATGCTGCCCTATTCTGCTCTTTTTTTTTGGAATTTTAAAAATTCTTTCTGTGGCATAACATTAGAAACTGTGGCTCATGCAGTAAAACTGCAGGCAGGTAGGTTTCCTTTTCTCTGTATCTCAGTTTTTAGTATGGATAATGCCTTATAGCACTGCTAAAGAATAAGCAAAATAATGGATGTAAAAGAAAGAAGTATTAATCAATGATAATTTTATAACATGGGCATGTTTAAATGACCTTATTCAAAGAGTAGTTGTATCAATATCAATCTAACTAGCAGTTTGCCATAGATACATTTAAAGAGGCTTTATTCATGTAAAGAAATATTCATTCCTTCATACCAACTACTATCAATGTGGTTCCAAAAGAAAATGAAGCCCCAATGCTTCCAGTAACCTATTCTATGAAATGAACTATTTTAACACAAATCTTTTGTCAGGAAAAGATTTTCTTTTTCTTTTTTTTTTTTTTTTGGGTCCAGTCTTGGTGCCTGAACTCTGGGCCTGAGCGCTGTCCCTCAGCTCTTCAGCTCAAGGCTAGCACTCTACTACTTGAGCCACAGCGCCACTTCTGGCTTTTTTTCTTTTTGCTTATGTGGTGCTGGGGAATCGAACCCAGGGCCTCAGGCATGCAAGGCAAGCGCTCTACCACTGAGCCACCTTCCCAGCCCCAGGAAAAGATTTTCTATACAGATTATTCCTGACAAGATCCATCTGTTGAGTAAGGATGAATTAAACAGTAAAAATTTCATTTAGTATTGGACATAATATTAAATATTGAACTATTTTCTTTTTTAATTTCTTACTAATTATTGTCAAACAATGTTTCTAAGGATTTTAATGTAAGAAACAATTTTTTAAAAATGATAGATTTAAAACAGTATCTATGTTAGTATTTTTACTGTACATAAATAATATACTTACCTCAGGAGGTTTCATATTTAAGACTTTTGTAATTCGACCCTAAAAATAAAATAATAGCAAATATTGCCATTTATTAAACAATACAAGATAATTTAGAAAGTGAAACAATCAGACTATTTTTCTAAAACAACGTTAACATGTACTAGTAAAGCTAAAGCAGGGAAATATATATTTATATATTTTATATTATGTATCATATTTAACATTAATGAGAGCAATAAAATTTAATATCTAACATATAATATTCATATATATTTTATACATGCTTACATATATATGTACAGGATATAATAAGTAGGTATTTATTCTGGCACAGTATAATTTGAATATATTCTTCAAAGTTTATGTTGGAAACTTAATCACAAGGCCAGGAGGTAGTGTCAGAAAGTAGTCCTTAGTAAGAGGTGAGTAAGTCATGATGCCTCTACTCATGAAGAAATCCATGATAATGGGATTATATCAGTTATACGTTAGTGGGTCTACTATAAAAGCAAGTTCAGGCCCCCCTTGCTCTCTTGCATTTTTGTCATAGCATGATATAATTCTCACTATATGCCTGTGGCATGCTTCTTCTGTCTTGGTTTAGCCTTTCCAACCACCAGTTTCAAGAACCAAAAAATTTGTCTTATAAATTTGGTATTCCCTAGAGTCCTTTGCAGACCCTGCCTTTGACCTTGCAGCGACTCTCTCCAACAGAAGGAGGTATCAAATAAAATAATTCAAGACATCAGCCTTTACCTTTCTTTTTCATGTCTTTAAAGGAAATTATTCATACTTTTATCCTTGAAACATTAAAATGTTTTAGAGTCCAGTAATTTAAAAGATAATGATATTATGGCTTGGATATGAAATCTACTTATTTAAAGGCCTAGTTCTTAAAGCACTATTCAGAGGTTAAGGTCTTAGGAAGTGACTAGAAAAGGAAAGTACTGACCTAGTCTGTCAGCTGATTAAATCACTGATAGATTCCTAACAGGATGACTATGGGGAAAGGGTGGTTACTATGAAAGGCAGGGCCTGACTAGAGGCAGTGGATAGCTGAGAATACATCCTTGAAAGGTTTATTTTGTCCCCTACTCCTCTGCCTCTTCCTTTTCCAACCTCCTAGATTCAATGAAAATGACCAGCTTTCCACTGTTGTACCATGTTTTAGCCTGGCTTCCAGCACATAGCAACAGAGCCAGACAATCACAGACTGAAACTTTTGAAAGAGTCAAAATAAATCTTTCCTCCTTCAAGTTGCTATTTTCAAGTATTTTGTTACAGTGACAAAAAAAGTGACTAATATATATAGAATATTTGCAAATTTGGTATGCATTATGCTTATAGTAATAGAATAAATCAAAGAAAATTACTTATTTAAAAAATGTAAATGCATATGATACAGACATTAATACAACTTAATCATATTTCTTAAAAGGTACATGAACTAAGCATAACAGAAAATAAATTCAGAAAATGGAAACATAAATTTTAAAAAAATTCAAAAAAGAAGGTATTTCTATTGTAATAACTTGAAAAATGACGTTAAAAATTTGTGGAGTACTGGATTCACAACTATAGCTCTATCTACTCAGGAGGCTGACATCTGAGGATCTCCGTTCAAAGCCAGCCTCAGTAGAAAAGGTTGAGAAGCTTACCTTCAATTAATCAGAAAAAGGCAAGAACTGGAAGCATAGCTCCACTGAAGGAATATCAGCCTCAATAAAAAAGCCATGCAAGAGCGTAAGGATAAAGCCCCAGTACTATTATGAAGACATAGAAAGACCTAAACAAAATACCTGCATGATGAGAAAGTGAGGATTGTTAACATTCAGGCCAACAGAACAGAACAGATCCTGTACTCTAGTGTTGTTTGCATTTACTCCATTGATTAAATATTTATTTCTCCCACCAATAACCACCTAAAAAGGAAGTATTAAAAAAATATAAATTTGCATGCACATCTGATGTTAAAATTATAAATAAAAGTCTATTATCTGTATTTATTTGTTCTTTCCAATTAACAGTAAACAAAACCAATTCTGAGTCAACCATGGTAGAACGGTCAAAGAGAATACTAATTCCATTTGAGACAACTCAAGTAATTTTGCTAATGTGTTATACAATCACATATAAGCCTCCTAATCTTCCCTGCATTGGATTAGGTCTCAGATTGATTCTAGCTCTATGTTTCCAAGTATGGATAACATGCCTTTGCCTTTCCTCATCTGCAATTTTTCCACTCAAAGGTAAAAAAGGAATGGATATGACTTCTGACCACTTAAAAGAGCAAAGGAACTTCAGCACGGGTTTATTAAGAACAAGACATGCCATATTCTGACTTGTTCAGGTTTTATTGCAGCATATAAATTATTGAATGGTTAGGACTCTTATCCATACTTCAACAACAACTCTAATATGAGCATAAGTAATTTCAGAAAGATTGAAAAATATATTAGTAAAAGTAGTCTTGAACTAAATTGGTAGATCAGAAAGAGACTCATGAACCATTTTAAAGGGTGAGTATTTGATGGGTGCCAATAAGAGAATAGGCCTCTGTCCTGTTCTACGCAACATTATTTTTATCAGAAACTTTTATGAGACAATTATGTGTAAGTGACATAATACTAAGATAGAGAATGGGATTAAATAGAACGTTTACAAGCTGAAAAATGTAATCTAAATATTAGAAAAAGTTTAAAGACAACCAAAGGCCTTATTGGTTTAAAAAAAACTGCATAGATACAGAAATGTCAGTAATATGGCTAATATACATAAAATTTAAAATGGTTTCAAGTAAATCTGTTGATAAATCTACCATATATTATGAATGCTGAACTGGGAAAAATGTTAGTATCCAAAATGAAAGAGGTATTAAAATTGCTTAGTTTTATTTTTAGACCAATTCTAGAATGCTTAATTTGAGGTGCCATGCACAAACAGAAGGGAGGAGGGGAGACTAACAGATACTTGGTGTGTCAGGCAAGTGAAGGAATTAGAAACAAATACGGTGAGATTTGGTCCTGGTATTTTCAAAAGAATCAGAATTAATGTACAAAACTTTAAGACAGTAGATTTAGGATGAATCTCTTAAGAGAACCTTTTTAATAAGATCTGCCCCCAAGGAGAATAGGCTATCTCAGAAGACAGCAAGGACAACATTACTGGAAGCATTTAACACAGTCAAGGAACATTCTCAAGTATGGTTTAAGAGTCAAGTGCTTATACTAGATAGGTGACTTTCCATATCTATTCCAATCCTCTTAGTTTAAAATATCAACTGTATGGTCAAAATTTTTAATAGTCATCCATTACTTAACAATAAGGTATATGTTCTGAAAAATCAATCACTCAAAATTCCAACCTCAGAGTATTTATGTGAGCCCTATAATACATGCAGTTTGGTATTGACTGAAACATGATTATGCAGTGCATGAGTGTAGAAGAAAGATACATTAAGGACCCTCCTACTTTTTGCAAAGCCATACTGCCAAACAACAAATCAGATACGAAAATTCTTAGGGCAACCAAATACTTATAGACACTCACCTGTCTTGTTACTGTGATCTCATCATGAGCTTCAAATCCTAAGGGGCTTTGCTTTTTGTCTGAATTATCAAAAGTGATTGACACTGACGCTTTGGTAATTCCAGCCTGCCCATTTTTATAAACTAAATCTTGTAAATTAGAAGCCCGAACCTAAAAATAAGTAAATAAACATTAACCAATTACAAACCCCATATTGCCCAGTGTAGCACTAAAATGGGCTTTTTGCCATTAGAAATCCCACTCAAATAGCAATTGTTAAGTCAGTAAGGGCATGTAGGTTGAATGTGCTGTCCAGATAATATCAACCTCTAGTGAGTGCTTTTGTCTTCAACTGGATTGTTTCCTAATTATTGAATGCTAATTTGCAAGATTTAAGGGAAATCGTAGTGCCTATGAGTTCCACTATTATCCAATACATTAATATGTCTTAAACAATATAATGGAAAAGGGAGAGGGTACAAACTGGGAAACTGCCTTAAACTCACAATACTTGAGGGTGGGTGTTATTCCCAAACACTTTTCAGGGTGAACCTTAGGCAACACTTCTAAGTTTCTATTTTCTTATTTAACAGAAAAAATAACTTCCTGAAATGATCATACAGAGGTATGCCATAAATGATACAAAGTTGAAAAATAAAATGAAGAAAATATTGGCAATAGCTTAGTGAGGAATTCTTCACTAAGCTTCAAGTCACAGAAATCAGAATGTTTATACCTTACCTGAGTCAGGTTGGAGATGCCTAGCAAAAAACAGATGGAGTCCAAAATGTTGGATTTCCCACTACCATTCAAACCAGTAATAGCATTGAAGAGAGGGTCAAAACCATTGACTTCAGTTCTCTGAGCATAAGACTTGAAACCCTCAAGAACTATTGACTTAATATGCATTTTGGATACTGTCTTGGATCAGTAGACCTCTGCTAGGTATGGAGAAAATCACAAGCCAGATCTGTGGGTGAAATGTCAGTCTGAAATCAGAGTAATCATGAGGCACTGTAACAGGAACTTCAACAATAGAAATTAAGCAGCCAATTGTTAAATTACCTTAAAGTTATCTTCCACCTATTTTAAAATACCCAAAACTTCGACACTACTTGGAAGCTAATCTGGAAATCTTAACTCTATCACTATGTATACCTCCTTTCCCAAGCTTGCTTTCTACATTCATCCTATAGCTAACAAAGACTATTCCTGACTTTACATCCCGTTCCCTTTGCCCACAATGTGCCATCATATACTGACATGGTTCATTCACTGCATCTTTTATTCCTGTCTATACACAAATGTCACCTTAGTAAGGTACTGCCTGACTTCCTTATGTAAAAGAGCAATTCTACCCATCTTCTATCTCGGCTTTCTTCAAGGAACCTTAAGTTGCCACTGAACAACACTTATTTGTCCAACTCATCACAAGGTTAAGTTCCTGAAAGATCTTTACTCGCTTCCATGGCTGGGATCCCCTTCGAACAGTGCCTGACTGAGGGCTGGAAGAATGATCAAATACTTATTAACCACACAGAATGCATCACATATGCTCCTGCCTCTTGGCTTTACCCGAACTCTTCCCTTGTTTCCCGATGCCTTCCTTTCCGCACTTCTTCGACTATTACATTCCTACAGATTTCCCTCCAGGTCCCTCTGAGCCTCCCGTCCACCTGTCACCCATCTCCCGCGAGGATACCCGGACAGGCCCAACTGGCTACTTGTGTAGCCGCCATGGTGCTGCTTCGGGCTGCCTGTGCCTGAGGAGTCCCCAGAGTTCCTCCCAGTCATAAAGGCCAAGAAAGGACCAACTGTACCTTGCTAGGGGAACTAGGAAGCACTTCCCACCATACCGGCTACGGACTAGCGCCACTCGCAGCAGCCGCGCCGGAACTATTTATTCCTTTGAATTTAGGCGCGAGCGAAGGACCCCGCCTCAGCGGCTAATTTCCGCCGCTGGTGCCTATCCGATGCCTGATTGTTGAGTTTCATTTTTAACCTACCGAGAGGAGCATCAAGGAGGCGGGTGTGTGATGGGCAAAAGAGTTTCAATCCTGGACGCTCCTAGAATACAACTTCCGGCATGGGAAGTGAAGGAAAAGGTGGTACATATTGACATTGGCGTCAGGCACGCTTTGGACAGCACCACGTCCCCTTGCGCGGCTGCCGCCCCTCCACGCCTCAGGCCCCTTCCGGCCGCGGGCTGGGCTCCACAGACCGGGCCTTCGGGAGGGCGGAGCGAGGCCTGCGGGACCTGCCTGTGTCTCCTCAGGGCAGCCGAGGTGGCGGGCCGACCAAGGCTACTTTTACTGTTCTCTGTGTTAAAAGCGTCACTGTCTTCTCGAGCTACCGAGAAACTGTACTTTTGAGCTAAGCAGGCGTTGGCTTCCAGGGGCTGCGGCCCCGGGCGGCCTGGCTAGGACGCCTTTCCCCGGTGGAGACCTCGGCAGCCGCCGCTAGCCGCGGGTCTCGGCCTGGAGGAAAAGCTCTGCGGGGCAGGTAACTGGGAGCTGGACACGCAGCGTCGGGCCCCCTCCCTGATGGCAGCGGCCGCAGCCCACCGTTGCATTTTCCATTTCTTGACTGGGTCCGGCTGTGTTCCTTGGGCCTAAAAAAACCGAAACGAACCCCAGCTTCATTGGACTCTAGGAAACCCTGGCTGTTGTGCTCATTGCCTAGATGGGAAAGCCGAGTGGCCAAGGTGAAGCAACTTGTGGTAGCGGCCGAAGGGCGAGGTCTGATCCCTGCCTCTCTCTAAACCACCGGGTTTTGTCTTTCAACAAAATCCTGCCGGGGTCTTGTTGAGAACCCAGTACTAGTCCAAAGTGACCCTGGTATCTGCTATCGTTTCCTTAGACGAAGAGAAATGTTAGATTTACTGGCCTTTGAGGACATTGACGTTAAGGACTTAGGAATAGCTTGAAGTTTAACATGGATGTCATGCTACCATTGATGAGCTATCCAAACGTGAAGCCAAGGGTTTGGTGGGAAGGGATAAGGGAGAACGATGAAACGGGTGATAGTGGTCAAGATGCAGAACACTCTGTACAAATACTTAAAATAATAAAAATATAATTTAAAAAAGTGACACCAATCCTACAGACTACAGTATTAAAAAAAAATAGAAATCTATTCTTCACAGATCCACTGTCTGAGAAGTCCAAGTAGAGGCAATAACTGATGAGGACTGCTTTCTAATTAGTAGCTAGCACTTGGCTAGTCCTTGTAGGTGAGAGGGCTGAGACACAACTAGGCTTATGTTGTAAAGGCTGACTAATTCCCATCATCTATCCAAAGATCCTACCTACTAATACAAGTATTCCGGGGGATAGAATTTCAAACTGAAGTTTGAGAAGACATTCTTAGTTCATAGAGTTGAACATGTATCTTAAAAGTGGCTTGTTAACTCTAGGATTGCTGTAGCAATGTGAACCAGTTTACAATAATCAAGAATGGGTCTATGTTTTGAAAATATTTCTCAATATAAGGATTTAAGTTATGTACTCTGATATGCCATCCACTCTTCCCATGATAACAGCCAGGGGTTAACATGTGATTAAGCAAATATTTTATCTGCCTTGATTCCTGTGTTCCCTCTTTGTCTTCTTTTGATCACTTGTGTGTGTGTGTGTGTGTGTGTGTGTGTGTGTGTGTGTGTGTGTGTTACTGGAGATTGAACTCAGGGCTTTATGTATTCTAAGAAGACACACCCCCAGATATGGGTTTACCTTCTAAATTAAAAAACTATTTAATTTGTCAACAAATCCAAATGTGGGTATTACATACTTTGTTAAGAAAAAAATGTAAGCATTCAGGCAGACATCATTAGCCTTTGCAGCTACTTTTATAGACCAATTACTAGGTGATATCCTTAGGACAAATGAATGAAAATTTATGTTTCAATATACCTCTAATAGATTAGGACTTTTAAGTTTCTAACTATTCCTATTAAGACTATTTATTAATATTGTTCATAAAGGTAAAGATCCTTGTCAGTTTTAGTCTTGATGCATGCCAGAAACACTGGAATTTCTGCTAAAATACTGTTCAGAGAAAGCTGATGATTCTGTCTTCTGCGATCACAACGGGAAAGTAAAAAACATGAAGGCATAAAGTTAACAATAGCTCCCGAATTTGGAGTGAATTAAAAACAAAGATGTAGAGTAGATAGTATATAAATAGAACACTATTTTTGTTTCATTACTATGAGTCAAAAGATTTGGAAAAGTTCAGCAGTTGCAAAGCCATGCAGAAATATACTGAGCTAGTGGAATCTTAGTTACTAATGGGAAGCAACAGCACCAGCAGAGACACAGGTAAAAATATAAAGTAGAACCTAGGAAAAATATTTGGTTTTCTGTTCTTTAGGGCATTAGGAGGGATCTTTTCCTGAATGTACTCTGGTAATTTTAGGATGCTAAAGTAGATCTTATAGAGTCCTGAGTGAATTCTCTCTCTCTGGAACTTAGGACAGAAGAAGAAATAAAAGGCTCACAGAAAGAACGAAAGGGCGATGCATTTCATTGAGGGAGAATTTTTGTATACAAAGAGATGAATTACTAATGATAGAAAATGTTTATGTTTAAGTGGAATTGAGTAGCACTACAATTTGAATATTGTATTTCTACCATCCTGTTGGTTGAATGGTAGTTCAAAAGAATCACCTTATCTGCCCTGTATAGAGCAGAGCTGTGACTGACTAAAGTCCATCATCTACTCATTGAACAAGTGGCTGAGTGTTTACAATGTCAGTGGATAATAGCTTTACATTTTATTGCTTTATGAATCTTATACTTGATATCAGTTTTTGTGTTATTGATTTGAACCATAACTAATTATACACAACTCTTGGAGTAGCCACCAGTCTTAATAAATGAAGTAATTGTTTTTCCCATGTGATTCCTGAACTCTTTAAGTCATTGAAATCCCAGTTGACTGATTTCACCACGTGCTTGGACACTCATTCAAGGTTGGATATAGTGAGTAGCCAGGTATAGGTAAAGAACATAAACATCTACTATAAGCCCTGCTTAAGAGGAATGAATTTTTAGTGGAAGGACCACGTATATTAGGAATGAAATCATAACAGGCTAAAAGGTGGATGTGGAAATGCTTACAAAAGATAGACTGGATTTAGCATAGGTAGTACTGCTTAGCAGGGAGACAGGAGAGAATGCTTTTATTAGTTCTAGATAATGGCTTCTTATATTTAAAAAATGCTGCCAGCAATTATGCTTGGACGACTAATTTGGAGTTATTTTTAGTTTGTATATTTTTTATTAGTTAATAGGATCAAAGAGTATAATAACCTAGTGAGAATTTCTCCGTAAATGGCAATCAAATTAGTTTTATTCATGAAACTCATAAATAAGCTATAATTCAGCATTTTGTGTTTAGGGAAAATAAAACTTAGGTCATGCTGTTTAAGAGGGTAAGGGAATTTAACAGAACACTGGGGGATTCCAGCAGATTTATGATGAAGATACATTTTACCTGGAAGCTTAATTGTGATTTAAATTACAGGTCAAGCTGTGCAATATGTTTCCTATTTAGGGTAAAAATCTTTGAAGAGATATAGTGTGCATGTTTAAAGAAGATGCAGGAAGCAAATGAGAAAACATATTGCATATTCCGTTTTTCTTTTAAAATACAAGCTACTTTAAGTCAAATTGCCCCGAGTTCCTGATGATGGCTTTTGTGAAATTTCCTTGTTTACTCTGTGATATTCTTGCCCTGTCTTCCAGAGCAATTATTTTACTTGACAGTAGCCAAAAAGATATCTGCCAGCGAACTAATATGGAAACCACATATAAGGTATTCTAAGCCTTTCTGAAATCATGACATTCTATCACTTTGAGCTAACTCACATAAAATTACCAAGATCTATTGATGAAAGGGCCCTTCAAGAACTATAGCCACTCCTTTTGCAAATGGAGAAATTAAGACTTCTAGTGATTTTCCCAAATTTACTTTTTATCTCGAGTAATTTAAGATCAAATGAAAAAATAAAATTTATGTACAAATAATTTTAATTGCTAAGAAATTGCTTCCCTGAAAAAACTGAAGACAGAATTGGAGGCTGTCTCTGAGAGGAAGATTTCTACTAGGAAAAGAACAGTTAGACATGACATCCTGGACTCTTGCATTGCCTTTGCCCTGGGTGAAGTTCCTCAACAATTAGAACCAAAGCTACCATGCATACTTCAACCATCTGTAGGTTTGGAGTTAAAGTATATGAGACAAAAGAACTGGGAAGAAATTGAAATGGTCTAATCTAGTTAAATCTCTGAAGACAAGTCAAGAATGGAACTTGTAAGCACTCCTTTACTAAAGCTTTAGGAATAATAATGGAAGAAAAAAACATGTTCAGGACACAACTATGAAAAAATCTGATTTTATTCATTTAAAAGGTGTTTATATCTAGTGGAGATGTAGATATATCTAGTTGGAGGCATAGATATTCGAAGTGTATATGTCAGAACAAAAACAAGGTATTGGGGCAATGAGTGTAAAAGGGGAATTAAGTAGCGAGTCTGTTTAAAATTGGAAAGGACAAAGTGCTTTGTACAAATATTGAAAAATAGCTTTTGTTCTGAGCTACACATAAGGGACAAGATCAAGAAAGACAAATAGTACATTATTACTTTTTAATCCCTTTGTTTTCCATCCCACCTTTTCCATTCCAGATCCTTCTATTTATATTTTTGTGTCTAGGACAGTTTTATTGTAAACTGAGAACTAATATCATTACTCTCTGAGATTAGCAACTATGCTTTTTTAGCATTCTGTGCAATCTGTTCCAAAGTAATGAGGATTTATGATGAGAGTTATAATAAATTGCACCTCTAATGCCTCTTATAGCTTATAAAGCTAGTTTTTATATGCTCTTCCTGTTTTCA